CTTAACTAATCTGTCTTTTGTTCTATCACGAAGCAATAAAAGTTGTCAGCCAGGCACAGCACCTGTTATGTTCCTATGTTCAACACCCACTATAAAACACGCTAGCGACAGTCCACCCAGTGGGTGGCATGTAACTCTGGTCTAACGTGATATATGGACATGGAGGTCTAATTAAGGTTGACTGCAAAAAATACTCGACATCTTGTGTCTCACCTCCCTGTAGATTTGTACGGGTACCTTACCTCCCTCAGAAAATCGATAGGCAGCTAGAAACTTTAATAAACATATGGAATGATAACGTTCATTATTTTTTTAATTTATTTTATTTATTCATTTAATAAACTTTTCAATTCAATCACAAATGTACTGTAGCGATGAAAACTATCGAACAGATTACAAACCCCCCTTTTAGAACGGCTCCCTCCTCCTTATTATTAAAAATACAAAAATAAAAATATATAGATCTAATATACAAAAAAGTACAAACACCAATAGGCCTACAACAAAATGTGTAAGAAAGAGGTGAAAAATGTCGAAAAAAAACTGAAAAAAATTGAGAAACGAAAGACAGCCAAACCGAAAAAAAGGAAAAAGAAAAATCATAAAAATGAATATTAATATTAATATAATTTGCCACTGTTAAAGTAATCATTTTCACCATCATTATTAATCAATGAATAATAAAAACAATAAGAATAATAATATAATAATAATAATAATAATAACAATAATAATAATAATAATAATAATAATAATAATAATAATAATAATAATAATAATAATAATAATATGGCACAATAAAAGAAAAATAAAGCATAAAAATGACGAATGGGTAGACTTCAAGCCAGATGAAACAGGGTGGAAGTAAAGACGACAGATAACATCGGCAATTTGTGACCAGGTACAAATATCATAAGGTACATTTTGCTGAGCAGCGTATTGCATGTACCGTACATATTTCTTATATGAGGAGACCGACAATGGAGTAAAATAAAAATTGTAAATGTACGGCGACAATATTTTTACAAATACAAAATACAAATAATTCATATTGATTCATAAAAAAAAAATCAATATTTCCCATATAAATAAAGCTCATAGTTTGAGTAAGAGACTGTTTTGACCGTTTTCGAGTCGATGATCAGGTATACGCTGTAAGACTTTAAAATAGCACCTCCGTGATATGATAGGTCAACAACAGGTCGTCGGAAACTGGTGATAGGGGCGCTCATTGCAAGGGCCCCACTGGGTACACTGACCGGCTCCGGAGGTGGTCCAGGGCTCGAATTATTCAACAGACATTTTCAACTGATTTCTAAAATCGTAAGTCCCATGACTCCCAACCAGAGAAATTTGACCGTAGGTCAAGGCATTTTATAGGCTTTTCTGTATTTTCGTGACACTTCATCATCACCACCTGGCTGGACAACACACTTTCACACTTTTGATCATCAATTCTGTGATACTGTCACACCTAATTTTAGACCACACCATTTACGTAGATCCTAATACTATATTTCCATATCAACATTCATGACTAAACCGTTCATAATTTAATAAACCTATGTTTAATATATAACACAAAAAACGACAATACTAATAGGCTAGTACTGTTTGCACGTCACATTGGTAAAATATGACATTAAAGATTAGCCTATTACACATTTTCATATTACATAAAGAGGGACCCTCCCCCTCTGACGATTTTTTTTTTTAAATTGGGAATAAAGAAAATTAGCATTCATTCAAATTAAAGTCTGAGAGTGCCAGTAAACGTCCCTCTCTGGGCATATTCTAATTGGAATTCATGGAGCCGCAATTTCTATAATTATTACTAATGTAATTTAAGCTGTGTTAATCAATGTAGGCCTACTGTATGTTCATTCAGATCAATCTATTAGTGCTATTAATTTTTGACAAGCAATAATGACTGGTCTTAAATCATGTGCATAAAATAATTGGCTTGAAACTATCAGTGTTTTGAAACATTATATTTTTGGAATGACAGACAGTCATTTCAAATATTTTGAAACCGTAGATTGATATTATTATTGCCTGCGTGTTAGGCCTATTTGTTCTCAGGAGATCAGTGACGTATGACGTATCACCTATTAATAATTATTCCCCAGTTTTCACCCCAGTCTAGAGGGGTCTAGAGGGGCCCGGAGATCCCTCCTATTAACAAACAGCACTCTTTTAACAGAGCCTTCAGATTATGATCCAGCTGTAGAAGACACCCAAATTAATACAATGTAAATACCAATTTTTTACCTTACGAATGTGCCAAGTGGTCTCACATGACACACTTCTATAATTATACAATATCAATTCCCGACCCACAGCCGGGCACCCCACAAACTGAAATTTCTAAATTCAAACTTACTCCGAAGTAATGAATTAAAATTCAAGGGAATTCAAATTAATTTATATTATTATAACATCATTGTTAGATATTCCAATGTGAAAGGGTCCCTGTAGTCGACTACTAAAATGCAAAACACACTTTCACACCGTGACTTGTTTACGCGACAAAGTTGTTTGGAGATAACTTGGCCTGCAGGAACACAATGGAGTATTAATTTCGAAGACAAGATTTGTAGAACTAGGAATAGAGTAGGCCTACACACCGATCCGCATTTTTCAACATTAAAGATCAACTGCAGACGTCTGAACAAACATTTAAAATTTAAACAAACTGCGAAGATTCAATCGTTCGATCTTTGATTTGATCAAGTTAGTCAGCGGATCCTCTGGTTTATGTAGCTTGCTTATTAATAACCTTTCACTCAGGAATAAACCGATATAAATGTTATAGAAATACAGTAAATCTGACCGAGGTGATAGTTAAAAATCCGATTACCCCTTTACATACAAAACACAGTGTCAAGGTTGCTGCCGTAAAAAGTCAACTCACCGCTAAATAACCTTGATATTAGCCAGACACCCAAAGTGACTGACATAAAAACAACCCCTAACCTTTATGGTTTGACTCTCGAGAGTCTCTAATGGAATATTGTTGTAGCTGCTGGTTAGGGGAGCACTATAATGTAATTTCCTCCGTTCATGTTGTAGTTTGACCAGTATTGGACTTTATTTAGCGTTTAAATCGCAAAACAGCCTAAGTAATTACGGCAGAGTACGATCTCCAAGCCTGTGTGTCAGATACCGTATTGATGCAAGACCCCAGTGGGCCATGTTCGGGCACAGGATGTTCGGCCAAGTCTGATATTTGACGAAACGGAACTCGGGGTCGCCATATGTCATTAATGTTTATGAGAAGGGGGAGGCAATATAACAGGCTGGGATGTCCTTGTGGGACGGGATGACGAGTGAAAGTGATTATCGCTGAATCATGTAATATTATCTTTTACTTCATGTATAAAAGATAGAACAATGATGATTAGTAACAGGCATGGGTTTTAGGCTTCATTTAGTTGATTTGTTCATATAGGGACACATTTTTAAAAAGTTGATAGGTCTAAACTCGGTATGGTACGGTGTGTGTTTTCTCTCCTAATCATTGTTTAAGGCCTACAGATATTGACGTTTACATGCCATGCTAAAAAATGAATTTAAATATTATATTTGAGTAATTTGATTTTTTCAATTTAAAATTAGAACAGACGAAGGCCTCTATAATATGTTCATTATCGTTCTGCCAGTACCCTTAAATTTGGATGGTAATAATCAATTGAAGAATTATTGTAGTTTGATCTGTCTAGAAGTTACTTTATCAAAAATTAAAAGATTGTTAAACTTTCGTTCTCAAACAATAACATCTCATTGGATGAGTAAAACATGTTATTGTGTTACGTATCACCAACACAAATGATCTTCTATACTAACTTATTTTATCATTTTAAACAAGGTGTTTAATGTTATAATTGAATTTTTAGATTTTCCAGATTTCATTTAAGTTTTTAGGTCTATTATTGACCTATCATTAACTTTAATGAAAAATCGAGTTGATGTAGCGTAATCAAAATTGACCTACTCTCATAAAAAAAAAATAATTATATAAGTACGACAGAATAATGAAGTAGAATCTTCTTACAGGGAGGTATTAATTACCAAAAAAATATTCTACGCTACGTTGACCACCATTCGCTTGTAATTTTGTTCTGCGCGAGGTCTTACACGGACCACAAGAACGGTCAGATGGTCAGTGTATCCAGCGAAAAAGCCCTGATTATTGGGTTTCGATGAAATAATGCCATTTTGGAGTGCTTTTTTAAAATTTTCTGTAGTATCGATTTTTCATGGCTGTTTAAAAATCTGTAGTTGGCATGAACACATCAATAATTAAAAACTAAACATAGATATTAGGAAAACAAAGAAAAGGCTAGGTATGATAATTGAAATGAAATAGTTTAAACTAGAGGAGATTAGCATTTCGGTTTTGTTACCGTATATTTTGTAGAATATAGGCCTATAATTAATATTTCATTATCAAGTCCATACTTCAGCAGCTATTTTTATTATCATTACAAATTTATCAATACAATCTTTACTTCGTTTATTACTGTTATGATATATTGGTATTGTATTAATGATAAAAAAATGAAAAATTTTTGACGCAACAGAAGAGCTGCTCAAAGTTAGCCGCCACAGGCCAAGTGAGGGCGCAACCCATTTTCACTAATTGCTAAGTACCTAAAAGAATGCGTTTTCGGAGGCCTTGACGCTTGTCAGTCATTAAAAATGTTAATACGAGTACTTTATGTATCTACTGTACAGTATTGTAAGCATTTAACAATACATAATATAGTACATTTAATCAAGATCAACTACTGTAACAATTTTCTATCCTTCTCGGGTCCAATGCTATGTAGAGGGCGCACTAGAAATTGTGAAGATAATATACTGTAAATGAAGCATTAAAATTGAATTAAATAGTTCGAAACAGTATCACTTATTAATAAACAATATTTTTGTCTTATCACTATTTTGGAATTCGGTGCTGAAACGTATAGACACTAAAAATAAGTAAAATCAACTAATCCAGTTTAAAGGTTTGATTTATTTCAAAAGCAGTTTAAATGTTAGTGCATCAAATGTCCTCTTTTTAAAAAATTCAAATTAATAATTTAAAGGGAAAATAAATGATAGATTTATCAGCATTTTGTGTGATTGATATAATATAGAACAATATTATTATATATAATATTAACCAACATTGTGCCTTATATTTTCAACTTATGACTTGTAGCAACTGACAACCTAAAAACATTCTTTTTCCTCAATTAAAACAGAAAACCCTAAAGAGTGGAATGAATAAGTAAATTCACAGTAAAATAGTGTTATAATATATAAAATACGTCAACTTATATAGTTGATAAGGCAAAGATAACAAAGTATATTGTTGTCTGGTGCCATTACTACAAATTTTAAGTGGTCTTATGATGAAGACTTCTTTGTTTCAGAACTAGGAAAGGTTGTTTTGCTTTCTTTTTATTACTCCAGTTTATGCATTGTTTGAAGTTCATTAAAAACCAAATGTTTCTATGAAAACAAAACAGATGAAAAGCAAAAGTAGTATATTATATTCAAGAAGAGCCAAGGTACCACATGCGTCCCAAGTCTATAGCAAATTGCAAGAGTCTTCCAGAAACTTGCAGACCCTACCACATTCAAACACAAAAATACTTTTGTATTAGCGTGTCCCTGAAATCAACGTATTAACAAGCGCAGCACAATAACATTAGAGAGAGAGCTCATTTAGCCAATCTGCCAAAAACCAGCTTCCTCTAACTTTGGACACCTGGTACCTTCATTAAAGTGTCACACTTCTATATATATTTAAATCCACTGTCCAATCGGATGTTACACTTTTTGTTTCTATTGAGGCACGGTAAAAGAGAGGTATTTTTCAAAATTAATTATACTCACTGAGTTTATGGAAAGACTGTAAGCATGATTTTGGGTATTTAAACATTTAAATGCTTGGAGTCTTCATCAATTTTTTTTCTTCTTTTGAGAATGTGATGGTTTACAAACGATGTGATGCATAATCATGTTTAAATCCCAAACACCATTACACATCACTTTTGTAATACAGAGCATGGCTAATTTACATAATAGACATGACAACTGACCATTACTAAGTACAAGTCACATAACTGTGACATACATTTGTGACAAAGCCACTGTAATGCTGTTTGGGAAAAAAAAAATAAACTGTTGTGTACTATCATTATGTAAACATATGGACAGCCACTCAAAGGTGTAGAAGCAACATAATGGATAGCATTTAGCAAAGAAGTTTAGACTGACAGGAACTAAGAAATGCTTATCACACCTCTAGATGCCTGCTATCATAAACCAGTCAGTGTTTAACAACATGACAACATCAAAACAACATGACTTGTGTTTAAATATTTTTCACACAAGATGCCCCATGTGTCACAGATTTCACGTAAAATGCAAGTCACGCAAGAAACCTCAGACATTCTCTATATAGATTTCTTGTCTTCGTTTTCTTCTTTTATACTCTCCTTCTCTTTTTCAGTTTTGTTCTCTTCTGGGTTGTCTTCATACCTATAGTACAAAAAATAATTCAAAAAGGTTTCCTTATTGGCTTCTGAGATTTTTTTACATAAAAATTTCATTCTACAAAATAACATATTGAAGTAAATGATGCAATGGAATTAACCAGTTATCATTATGAGTTTTTCAGGACAAAAGTTGATAGAGTAGTCAAGAAAAACATTTGCAGAATCTGAGCCAGGGACCACAGTATTCAAAGCTAGCATCTTAACTACAGAAATAGGCTTAATTTTTTTAACACAATATTCCACTAGAACTAACAGAAACATGTTATGGAAATCTCTAAGATGAATTATAGAGATATGAAAATGTAAAATAGGGTCAAAGGTCACAATTGTCATTACAGATTTATTATTTTTTTACAAAGTTTTTCATTAGAATGAATCAGAACATGTTATGAACAATGCAAGACCAAAATCAAATCTCTGAAAAATGCGGTCAGCAAAATATATGACAACCCAACGTTTTACTTGACAGCCATTATAAATTTGAAATGCTTTAAATGCCAGTGAACTGATTAATTGCTGCACCATTATGGAATATTCCCCCAGAGGGCAGAGTGTGTGTTCCATAGGCGTTTGGTCCAATGACCGGCATAATACTAGAAGCACATACAGGCATTGGTAACAATGTGCCATATAAGATAAATTTATATCATGTTTTCTTGGTGCTCCGTGTTCTTATTATTATTACATATTATGAAGAATAGTAAAGATGAAGACTTACTTGAAGATTTCTTTGATTTCACCACGGACAAGGGCTACAAACAGCGGTGTTCCAATACACATCGGTACAAGGTACAGTAATGCCGGCTGTGCATGTTTGAAGAAATGCATTACACCAATCGTTGTCAGAAGTCCTGTTATATAGGCAAAAAAGCCACTGTAGAAATACACACGGCTGTCCGACTTCTTACTAAAAGAGAAATTTAATAAATATACTTAATAAAATAATACTATGGATTTATATAGCAAACTCCAAACCAAATGTAGATAAAGTGTGTCTGGCTATTGCTAAGTATTATTAACAAAAAACCCATTGAATACCTGACATCAAAGCGTAAGAGTAGAGCAATAAATATACCCGGAATGACAATATCCCCAAGACCAAGCATGGCAAAGTTGTTGGCTGCTAGACCGTTCTCCAACAGGTCCTGAGGAAAAACCACTGGAAAGAAAGGGGTAATTACATTAGCAAGACATAGAAGGAAGTCAGAACTTTAAAGACATGTGAAATGAAAGGGGTCAATTTATTTAGCCAGGAATGGAAGCTGGGTTAATTCATTTGACCAAGAATGGGGGGGGGGGATCAGCTCATTTCTAGGATTGGAAAGGGTCTACACATTCAACAAGGGAATGATCAGGTCAACACATTTAATTTTAAAAAATGGAAGGGTAAAAAACTAATGCAACTATTTGCATTTGATTGCAGCATGGTTGAACAAGCAGATGGTATGATGCGATAGAACTTAATACCAATTGCAATGTTTTTTGTCTAAAAAAATAGGAAGTAATATCCTACAAAATAAATGAATCATTTTTAAAAACTTACATTTGATTGGTGCCTCAAAAGACTTGGCAACTGTTACCATGACATCTGTACCAAACACCCAGAAGATGTCATAAAAAAACAAACCTCCAAGTAGAATACAGCCAGTTATAACAGAATTCAGTTGAAGAAATTCCACAGCATTCACAGAGAAAGCAAGACCAAATATGTTGTTGGCAATCCAGTGCTATTAAAAAACAAAAAACATGAATATCACCACTAATAGAGTGTCACTGATAAAATAAAAATAAAAAAATACTAAAAAATTAACAAAAATATTAAATATAAAATTGTAACTGATCACATTTGGTTTTTTAAATTAATGTTTGCTGAATTACAGTTTTTTTTTGTACAAAAATTGTTAAACTGATTATCAGCCAATTTAAGGGTTTATTTAAGGAATACAGAAACTGTATTCTTCATGCATTTTTAAGGATCAAGGAAATTACTACAGTATTCTCATTGTATTACTAAATTAAATATTCAATGCAATTAAAATAAAGATGTTTATGGTTGTTATGGAAATATAGTAAGGAGAACACATTGCAATATTGTCCAGCTGCTTAAAAAATATGAACAGCAGTTTATGAGAGTAGGTGCATCATCATGCAGATCTTAAAGACCCCTCCAATTAAAAACCATCTCCAATTAATTAACAAATGTCTTTATTATTCTAATTAGAAACCAAAGCTGCTAAAGACCATGGAATCCTTGGACCTAAAAGTGGTTTTTAATTGGAGGGAGACCAGTAAATAACTTATGATTATTTTGTACTGGTAAATACAAAAATTAAATAATGAATAATTTTACCTTCTTGACAAGATACCATATACCAAAGCCAGTTGATATAGCCAGAGCCAACAAGTCTTTGCGATCAAATTCTTGATTTATAACCTCTAATGAATAAACATAAAAATATGATTAATAATATCGCATTCAGGGGCAGATTCAGAGGTGGGAGGGGAGGTGATTGAGAGACAACACTAACCTAGGGGGGCCCGGGGGCACCCAAGAAAATTGTTGTTTTCTGGCCACCTATAAATCCACCCATGGCATTATAATGAAGATACAGGTATGTGCAGTTGGTTTTAATGTTATTAAAAATTTAATACAGTTTTGATTTCTTAGAAGTCAAAACTGATTAACAAGCAACATAAATTAAATACGAATATAAATAATCTTAAACAAATACAGCTTGATTTTTCATTCTCACTCTCATTGTAGCAGAAAATATGTGTATTTCACTAAATGACTAGAAAAGTGATAATAGCAATACACAAATATTTGTTGAATATTTTGTTGTACAGTACAAACAACTCATCAGCAAATGTGAGGGATCTGCTTTACCAAATATTTGTGCTATCACTTGACTGGGTGCATATTAAACTGACTTATGAATTATCATTATCATCATTATTATTACTATGTTAATTACCTTCTCTCTGGTCTCCTTCTCCTTGTGTAAAGATAATGTGGTATGGCATATTTGGAAAGAAATTTGGTACCAATTTATGTACCACTGGGCTGAAACATAAGTGCAAGATCATTTCACTTTCTACGTCTAATCTCAAATTCAAATTCAAAATTCACTTTATTGCAATCTGACAAGATATAAAAATCTACACCAAACTGAAGTAGAAAAATAATTACAGTAAATATAGATACACAGATAAAAAGCTCTACAATTACATATAAATGTTAAAACAATAAAAAATCGCCAAAAGATTAATAAAAAATAGTTAGAAAATGTTTTGGTTATTGTTGTCACTGAAAGGCAAACCGAAGTCACCAGTGTTTGAAAATACATGGTTAATAATCTCCAACATACATTTCATTACCACTTAGCACATAGTTGCTTGCTTCGACCTGCTAATTCTAAGATATAACATCAGATTTGCTAATTTGCTAAGTTAAAATTAAAGTTTAGGTATACATTTGCGATGTTTTAGATGAGACTTTTTTTATACATTGTTGCGTGAACTTATTTGTTTAAAGATCATCAGAGAAGGGCAGAAAAAACAGTTTTCTTATTTAGCAAATGTTTTTGCCAAAAACAACCAAATGGAGGAGAAAATAAAAATACAATTTTATTTTTGAATGAAAAGAGTGTAGTAATACGATGGTTAAATTCTTTAAATTTTTATAATTAGGAAGAAATATACATATCTTATTTTTGGAAATTTCAATGCAGTGGTGGGCTTAATAAAAATAAAGAAAAACTTCAATTTTTTCTGAAATTTCCATTTTCTGTGGTAGCGGGTGCAGTAATTGGCCAAAAATAAAATTTTATTTTATCCAAAATCATCAATATTGGCGGCCGTCGGGTTTGCAAAACAAGGTATAAAAAAGTTTCAGCTTATTTTACAGCCAATCATCATTATAAATGCTATGTCAAATGTTTTAACATTCGGTCAAATTGAGTAGTGTTCCCAGTTATGTAGCAGTTGTTTTCCAAATTATGTTGTCATATAGGGTTATGTTATAAAGGTTATATCACCACATTTAGATACAGTATCAATTCCATTAAAATTGTAAACAAATCACATGCTCAGCTCCTGGGGCAAAAAAACACATGTTGTGATGGGAGACATTAATTGACATGTAAACCTTTCACTATTAAGATGGTCAACAAAACATTTTCAGTTCTTTTTTTTTTTTTTTTTTTTAACCATATTTAATAGAGGGTGACCCTTCCAGCGTATTCTACTACAAGGTTGGCTGATATTCAGGGGCCCTCTTTAAATATATGAAATAATGTGATGCTTTTGTGTGAGTGCTCGTCAACACGTCATCTGCTGAATGTTGATGGCAGTCTAAACGGATTCACATTGAAAACGATCTTTGTATGATAATAGTCTTATAGAACTCACCTAAGAATATGTGCAATAGCGAGGACTCCAAGAAAGAAGAAATAAAACGTCAATAAAAGGTTGATGTACTCTTTAGAAAAAAACTGAAAAAAATAAGTCAGAATTAATTTAAAGGTTACTCTACAGTATGCACTGTTCAGTGTGTTTGCATGTAGAAATATGCAGACATTTGTTGAAGATGAAAGCAATGAATGGGAAAATGGTAATGATGATGGTCGTGATGATAATGATGGTGGTAATGATGTTTGTAGCAATATACAGTATTTAGAGATTCATACTGGTCTTTTTTGCCTGGGATGCAAGGCAAAGGCAATATATTTTATAATTAATTACCCCTGGTCACTGTTTCCATAATTTGTCAAACCCAGGAGTACCAAGTTGGAAGAAATATCTTCCAGGAAATCTGGTTAAATGAGCTTTCAATATATATCTAATTTCATTTGGTTGCATATAGAGATAACCATTGGCACAATTCTGTGAGACACTGGATAATAAAGTAGTTAAAACATGCAAATACCATGATTTTGCAGGAGATTAGTTATATTCTGGAGATCTTGCAGGAGTGCAGGAGCCCATCCAGATTTTTAGGAGTCTCTTGACCCCTGCAAACTGGCAACCTCCTCCACTCACTGAGGAGTATTTCAGTCGTGCTTAAATGCAGACACAGACTACTGTAATCATGATGAAATATGTTAATGAACAGGTTTGATGATGATGAAAATGCTGATTACAATATTGCTGAAAATGATGATATTAATGATAATTGATGATAAATACTCTTTGTAAAAGATTACATTACAGGCATCCCAGTATCATCGTACCAATTGGTCACTGTTGTTTCTGTGTCAATCTACTGCACAAGTGTAAACTCACCTTGAATACAAGGTAGATACCAAAAAGAGCACCACTAGCATACAATGGGAACATGGCAGCATCTTGACTCGTCATCGTCTCAACAGCCTCACCATTTTTCTAGATCAGGAAAAATCAGACACAATGGTGTTTGAGATTTATGTTTAGAAATGCTTGACCTTTAAGACACTGGTGGTACATAAAATTTAAAACAAAAATTAGCTTGTTTTGGAGAGCTGTGTGTTCCCATTTCTTTTCTGCTATTTCTTGGGGGACCTGCCCCTACTGTAAAATTTTTTTAATAGCTCAAAAATTATTTAAAATTTGCGCGGAAAATCGAATGACAAAATAATAATATAGCCTTATTTATTATAGGCCTAGCCTAGGCCAAATATTTCGGGTATTATTTTAACAGGTAGTTAAAAATAATGTTAAATGAAACAATCTAATTTCCATCTTTAAATAATAACTACTACTTCTTAAACTTTCTATAAAGCTTCCAATTATTGTAACTATCTACAACACCAACAGAACAGCTGTTTCACAGCTAGGCCTAAGCTGGCATCCACCCGGCAATCATTCATTGTCTACCAACCAACCAACCACCGCCAACACCGCAGGCATGAGAAGTAGATACAGCAGTCATTGCCTACCTTACGATCTTTCAAGAACTTAACGGAACGGAAAGAGCCAACAAATATCGGGAGTAAAGCCATTATTAAAAGGCTACTGTATGCTACTGCCATCCCCTCAGGGGTAGACGGAATTCTACTGGTAGCATTTGCAGTTTCATTTAAAGTTGCGTTTTCCATACTAACATCTGTTTCTGAATCGGAACTCATCCTTCCTTAATTGTTACTGTATTAAAAATTACAATTCACTACACTATCGCTGACGTGCGTAAAAGTACCCCCTCTAGAATAACCATGAATAACTAGTCTTTCGTATTCAGTTCTAAACCCTCCAAGAAACTTTATGATCATGGATGAATGGATTTTTTACATCTCCCTGGATGGATTATGGATTCTTTCTAAAATAAAATCAGTATTGGCATGGCTTATTTTATTAATTAGGCTAAATTAGTAGCTTTCATTTGGTAATTAAAATGATAAAATAATTTTCCCGCCCAAAAACAAACTAAATAGGCCCCTACACACAATAATACAGCTCCACATATGGCGTCTCAGAAGACATCAAACCAACATTTTGTTATAATTGTAATTAAACATTTTTACACAAGTTAATTAAACTTCAATCTTATTCTTAATTATTTCAATAGTCATTTAATGACAGTGTGTTGAAGGGGAAATTTTCAGTTTGAGTTTGCCAAAACCATGGTCTGTGTCTAATAGAATCCATACATGTCTACCGGCACTTAACGATGCTTTGATCTTTAGTTTATTCATAGTTATGTCACGTACTAGGGGTAATGTTTTGATTGGTCGAACACTTTTGGTACTTGTGCATATAAGCTTGCAAATATGGATAATTTTTTCATTCCTGATGATGACATAATTAATTAATGTCGAAATATTGAATCCCGGCGTGCATTTCGATACTTGGACTATGTATTATACTATCTTATCTGAGATTAATTAGTGGACCTTTCGGCACTAAACGTGGTCTTAGATTTCTCTAGAGGGAAATTAATAAATAATACTTGTTTTAGAATGAATTACCGCATGATGATGTTGTTTCTTTTATTTGCTGGTATGTATTCTATTTAAGAATGTTCGTATTAAATAATAAAGTCTTAGAATCTGTGTCTCATTAGAAGGTTGATTCACTTATGCAATAAGAAATTTAATGTTTGATCTGAATTCTAAAATGGGACTCCGAATTTTATCACATGTAGTATATCTTCAAAGACAGTACAAATTAAAGAACATACAGTAGTTTACAGATCAAGATTTTATTGCACATTGCATGGCTTTCTTATATTACATTCGTAGATCATTAACCAACGAAATTAAACAAAAAGAAAAGTGAAATATTGATAATAAATATGTTTGCAGCACACCACATAGTTCTGATGAAAATGTTTGCATTGTTGAGAATGACAAGGCAACAGTTCTTCAAACAATACATCGCCTATATATATATATATATATATATATATATATATATATATATATATCCAGTTTCACTTATTCGTTAACAATTTTCCTACTGTTTTCTTAAATTCAAACTTTTACATCAAAAAGTGACAGTTGTTTAGACTGCTTTTATGTCTTCCATGTAGCTAGTTTATTGGATTTAATTTCTTGTAATATTGTATTTTTCTTGAATAAATTATAAAATCATAATACTATTGAAATAATAAATTAATAACAATAATTTGGATGTGTTCACACTGGTTCATTCTCTAGCTTTCGATTACCTTTCTTGGACCTTCCTCAGCTGAATGACATTAGCATAATGTAGCTAATGCCTACGTCACCAATGGTGTAATGTATTATTTTGTATTTGCTTAATGCTAATTAACACATTATTGAAATTTCATATTTGAAGGCAAATGAAGTTATTGGATCATTATTAATGACAGAATGAGAATAACAATGACAATATTAATTTGAATACAAATATAAGAAATTTAAATATTTTACATAAAGGTACCTTGAATATATGTTATAATAGATGCTTTCTATTTGCTATAATAGACTGGAATCACAGCAACTATACCACTGTACTGAAAAGGTATTACTTATTCCTGTAGACAAATATGCATGCTTTCATGTTTGATATGAATGGAATGAAACATATAAGATTAAATAAAATATAAAATATGATAAATAAAAACATTACAAGGTTTTTTTTAACAAGGTGAAATTTTAACAATACACTCCAAAATATGAATGTTTTAGTTTAAAACATAGAAAGCACACTTGCATATCAGCAATGTATACATCAGCCATATTCTGTAGAATGCAAGACTCAAGGTGGCGAACTTTCAAGGTAAATTTGTCTGTAAACAATTTAAATAAATTAATCCAAATTAATTTATTTTCATTGAGATCTATCATAAGCATACTAATGATATAAGTACATAATTTACAATTATTGATAAAATATATCCAACTTGAGCATATCTGTAACTCTAAAACACATTAATTCATTAAAAAGTGGCTTATTTAAAACTGTACAGTGTATAAGGCACTACTTTTAACCATATTTTTTTTATGATTAATTGCATCACACTCATTCTTTTCTCCCATCCCCATGTATTTGTTCTGCTATAGCATTGCTCCCACAACCCCACCAGGTGTAACTAGTTTTCCAGTACAAATAACAGTAAAAGACATAATTTTTCATTTAATTTTCGAAGCTCTGTCATCATGGCAAAGAATAATTACTTCCATACCATTCAGACAATTACATCTTCCTTGTTAGCGATACCATAACTATCATTTTTTTCAGCTTAGCATTGCCAAGTACAACATTACACCTCCGGGTGTAGTGATGCAATGCAGGTCATTACCTCTTCCTACTTAATGATGCTATGTAAACCCATAATGAGAGGATATTATTGGGGTAGGGATGGATGTGGACGGCAAGAGCAAACTCAATATTGGATGATTCATTCTCATGGACTCCTGTACTTCTTACTTTCTCGATTACGGACCTCATGTCAGTGTATGACATGTGAAGAGGAAAACCGCATAGCTGAAGATAACAAGAAAAAGTCAAGCCTTAATGAGCATATTTAGTAACATCATCAATTACATTATAAAAGTGAAGACTTCATGAGTATGTTTATTGGCATCAATTATGTTGTAAAAAATGGGTACTTAAAAAGGGTACTTATAAGAAATTATATAACCTGTATACTTAGTTTTCTTGAAAAATGTAAGGATTCAAATACTATCCTATATTTAAGCTGCTTTTGTTCATGAATGTAAAACAAGGAATACTTATTACAGACAGCTTAAAAAAAAATAGTTTGATTTTTTTTAGCACGTCATGAAAAAAAGCCTCTATAAGCTTCAGACACTTTTTCCTAGTTTCAGCTTGTCTTGCTTTCTTTTTATATTTTATATAAATTTTCTTTTCATTTAGGCTGCTTAACATCATTACTTTTATTCCATTTCTTTATTCCCATGTTGATGTAGGCCATTACTCAGAGCAAAGCACATTTCTGCGAAGCCCCATTCCTTGGATATCGTTGCTAAGATGCGGGCCCTTAAACAGCATAAATCTATGTAAACTTGTGTGTATGTATGTGGGACATGCAGGTATTCCTAGTTTATTAAATAACACATTCTATTTGGTCAGTTGTTAAGTTTGATTGACACTCCGATAAGGTTTATTTGAGGATACAATAGCAAGGATTATGTGAACATGACTTAAACTAAGGATTTAATGAACAAATTGTGAATTATAAATATGCCCACTTACATTGTAAGAGCTAAGAATATCAGCAGCTTGAGCTTTATTTTCTGTTGATCCTGATTTATTGAACTCCAATGTTTCGAGAATTTTTCGGAATTCCTGGGTGCAGTATCGATTCCAGCGAGTAATATGGCGAGGGCGCCAATTCATTATTGCATCGCGAAGCTCTTTTTCAATCCTAGAAAAAAATCAAATCATACATATTTTTCCTCAGAAATAAATAATGACTGATTCAATAATAATATATCTAATAATTAATGATGATCAATTTAGATTTTGCAATGTTAAAATCTGATTTAAAATTAATACTTTCTTCAAATTCGCCATACTTTAATGGTCTATATTAGACTTTTAAATTCATGTAAAGATGCTAAATACCTTAAATTTTAAGATCATATTTTAACCTCTGTTGCTAAATTAAGTTGTGGGTTACCACTTTAAACCTAAAAATTTACAAGTTATTAGAACATAAACATCACAATTGATCATTGATACCATTATCTATAAAATGTATTTCTGCTTAACATACATAAAGGTGAGTTAAACTGAACAGGACGGTATTTACCTATCTTGGAGGCGAAGGACATTTTGTGGACTAGTCTCCTGGTATACCAGCTCATTTGGCTGTCAATCAAAATAAACAATAAATCAAATGACATAACTGGATTTTACTCACAAACAGAAGTGCAAACATAATAGTAGTGTTAAATCATTAACTGAACACCATATTCTGAGGAAAATAATACATAAACTCTGTTATCTCATTTTTGGCTCCAAATAATTTAATATTTTTTGCAACATTGACAAAAAAAATTTTCACAATGACTTAATTGAATACTGACCTGGACACTTGATAGTCCTGGGTTTGAAAAACCACGATGGAAGAATGGTTTCCAGCACGTACTCTTGCTAGTATCAAAATCCATCATATTGGGAGCATCTGATGGCTGGATATTTGCCCAGATCTATAATAATATTGACTAAATAAGTATACTCTGGGCCGTGGGGTAGTGTAGTGTTCCCCCCCGGGCTACAGCTATACAACTAATGACTTTACTGTGGGCTATTAGAAGCTCAAAGAGGGTGGGACTTTTGCCAAGATCTACAACAATAATACTAAAGGTATACAGTGGCCTAGGAGTATTTTTGTTGTGAATGGCACCAAGGATCACCCACTAAGTCTCAAGACTAGTTTCCAGTGGAGTCCTTCTGGTGGTGGCTAAAGGGCTCTAGATATATTTTAATAATTGTATAAACCAGCTTAAACAACTTTTTAAGATCACTTCCTCCATCCCCATGGTAAAAGAGACTAAGGCATGTGGTTCCATCTACTAAGTACATTTGTTTATAATTAATTATCCATAATGGATTATCCATATATTGTACATATGGGGAAATGGTTGGTATTCTGGTATCAGTTCAGTACCATCTACTTATAAGATACAGTAATTGTATAAATTTAATAGTATACCATAACAACTGAATTCAAATTTGTTAAATAGTGCTAATGCAACCAAACAATTATGTTACAACAATGGATAGGTTAAAAATATTGTTATCAACTATAAAATATCATATTATGTTACAATTGATATATTTCAAAATATTGCTATCAACCAGTAATATATGTGGCAAAGACAAGCCAAACCAGTCACTCGCCGCAAATCCTGTTTCAGAAATATTGGCCACAACATGCTGGAATGTCAACATTTTTGAAATCAATTTTATTGCACTAAACTAACCTTTATGCATCCATACATCATGCTATATTTCGTCATTTTCAATGTTAAACAACAATTTTTAACAATTTGGTGACAGTTTCTGCTTAAGAAATGCCCAAAATCATAAACTTTCAAAGGCTGATTTCTCAAATATTGCTCTTTAAACAGGTGTATGTTTAAACGCTTGTAACTTCTTAAGGAAAATGTCGGATTTAAATGATTCTTTCACCATTTTATAGCACCCATTTTACTGTTTAACCTTGTATTAATAACTAAAAATTAAATTTTGCGATGAGTGACTGGTTTGGCTTGTCTTTGCCACATATGATGGTACAAAGGACTTACATTTTCATTGTTCATCAAAGCCATTACTGACTTCAAAGGGCAGAAAGTGTCATTCTTATAATACCATTCCCCAGTTGATGGATTCCAAATTTTATATTCACCATCGTCAGCAGTTAATACATACACGGTTGATCCTTCAGGAATGGCCGAGCCTTTCAGCACCCATGTTTTCTTACCCATTTGTAGGAAGTAGTTACATAAAAGGACTGCATGTTCCTCCTCATCACCTTGCAACATTTGCAGAAATTGCTGATAGACAGAACAGCATGAAAAGAAAACATGAGAAAAACAGGATTAATAATGCTAAAAGTCACTAATGATAATAATAATAATAATAATAATAATAATAATAATAATAATAATAATAATAATTATCTATAATTATACAGGTCTCCCTCCAATTAAAGACAACATCAAATTAAAGACCACTTTTCTGTGGTCCTGAATTAACAAAATGTCTTTTATCTTTATTATTCAACAGAGACTATAGCTGCTAAAGAATTGACTTAAATCTGAAAAAAAAAAAATATTATTAAAAAAGAACTTACATCACATGTACTCCATATGTCACAGATACCTGGATACACAACACTGTCAGAAACGAATGAGATTAATGACACAAACCTGGCGACACGTTCCTGAGTAGTAATAAAATAATCATAGTTATAATAACTTTTAATTCGATTAAAAATAAACATAAAATTGTTCAAAATATTTGAAACTGATCTACAAAACAATAAATAGAAAAATTATTTACTTTAAAATTATAAAATATACAAGATAATAAATATATGGAAATTGTTTATATCTTCTCGAAAAGTATAAAATACAGAATATCCTACCATTGTGGTGAACTTGTTATCGCCTTCGAGCACCTTGGGTGGTGGCGTTAATGGACGGAAATAACGTGTAACAAACACCGACTTCCCATTGATGTCCATCACCGTTGTAATCACTTCTCTCTTTGGAAATTTCTTCTTGATCTCAATCACAAAATTGTCAGCATAAGCAAGAAGCTTTTCATCCTCTTTAGAATCAAACTAAATTAAGAAAATTCAGAAAACAAGGAAGGAAATAAAGTATGAAATTGAACATGCAATGTAACAGTATGTAAAAATAAAGTAAATTAGATGAAAATGTCAAAATACGTTATCTCTCTGTTTTGTTTAATTATCCACACTATTGACACAATCATGTGTATGATGCAATAATTTATTTTTCTACATTTTACAAGACAGTATATTTTAAATAATTTGTATAATCTTTCATATCCAAATTTCACTTTCTTCCATAAACACTACTAGAATTATGTCATAAAAAAAATCTTGAAATTATAATTATATTTGGTTTTTATTCATGATTAAATCAATGATGTGTAACTAGTTTTTATAGCTCACCTTTTCTCTTGTTGGTTCTACAGGAGCAAGTGGTGGCTCAATGGTGATAAACATTGACAGATATGTTCTACCTGAGCTTTCTGGACCCCGCTCGTAACCAAGAAGCGAAGATGGAGCCTGCACACGAAAAGCGCCCTCAACCTAGTAAAAAAAGAGATTCAATAAATGATATTATTGTTGTTGTCATAGTTACTGCTGCTGGTGTTGTTGTTGTTGCTGCTGTATTAAAATAATAATAATCATCAAAATAATAACTGAAGATAAATTTCAATTATGAGGAGAAAATGGAAACATGCATAAACCATGAGGAAACAATGAGTTGAATATACTGTAGCTCCATGCAACATGCATTCAAAATTCCAATAGTAACATGCTTCAACATGCTATAGTATGCATGACCATTGAGCATTACTATACATCTTTCAACACTACCCTCCAATGGTTGTAATTTACAAAGAATAAAGGAGAACTGGTGAATCTGTATTATGCTGAGTATTGTTATTAAAGAGAATGAAACAGCAATTGCAACCGATCCAAGCTGGTTGAGGATTATAAGGAAATTATCTGTCCTTTGGCATTCAGGATGTTACCTATTGGCTTCAAGAAAAATGGCATACTTTAACTTCCAGTTACATTATTAACCATAGTGATAATATTATCAGTTACCATGGTAATGACATTATTGAAATTAGCATAGTATAAATTAGCATGTAAACAATTAAGGGTATGTTCTACAGCAAATAATATTTGAATGATCTACAAGGTTCATGTAAATGGTCAATAATGATGTGCTGGTTCCAGGCCTAAGAATGAAGAATTGTCACATGAGTTCAATGTTGATGGTGGTTCCAGGCCTAAAATGAAGAATGAGGACATGGGTTCAGGGATGATGGTGGTTCCAGGCCTACAAATGAAGAATGAGGCCACATGGGTTCAAAGATGATTGTGGTTCCAGGCCTACAAATGAAGAATGAGGACATCAGTTCAGGGATGATGGTGGTTGCAGGCCTACAAATGAAGAATGAGGCCACATGGGGTCAAAGATGATTGTGGTTCCAGGCCTACAAACGAAGAGTGAGGACATCAGTTCAGTGATGATGGTGGTTCCCGGCCTACAGATGAAGAATGAGGCGACATGGGGTCAAAGATGATTGTGGTTCCAGGCCTACAAATGAAGAATGAGGACATCAGTTCAGGGATGATGGTGGTTCCAGGCTACAAATGAAGAATGAGGCCTCATAGGTTCAAAGATGATGGTGGTTCCAGGCTTACAAATGAAGAATGAGGATGTGGATTCAGCTAAGCTTGTGACCAACTAAGTGGGAACACATGGATAAATTAGGTACAAGTAACTTACAATGTAGGCCTAGCAATGACAGTAGATAGATCTAATGTACATGATACATTGGTTTAGGGACACCACAGGCACTTAGCCACAGAAATGTAAAAAACAAAATGGTAGAAACCCTGTGAGAGGATTGGAAGTGTGTTCTATATTGGGTTATTACTACAAGCAAATCTTGCATGGGGAATGTTCAGTTAATCCAATGATTTTAGGATGAGTGACTAACATGAAAATTTGTTATGTGACAGAAGAATTATAGACAACATACCATATTTGATTTGTAATACTACAAAAAGAGAAGTATAAAATGAATCATTAAGTTAAACAATATTGACATTACAGAGAACACAGTTTTACATCTTGTACAGCATTCCTAGTACAAGATCATATATTTAATTTTCAGATGACATGAACAGATTGCAGGCAGGGCCTGCATTAATGATGACATCAAAAGATAAGAATGCAACAATAAAAACTAAAAATGTAAAAGAGATACATTAACATCAAGAATATTTCATCACCCATTTGTTAGCCAACAAATAACACAATATTAATGAGTACACAAAACATTACAAAGTTGGAAGTAATTAGCATAAATGAATATTCATCACTAACTTAATAGGCACTTTGATGAAATTATGAGCACAATTGAATATTCGTATCTAAACTCAGCACTGACAGAAATAATGAATGTATTTAATGTTTTCCCCAAGAATTCAATATACTGATTGGTTACTGATTTTAGGTCAGACGGCAGCGGTTACTCTAGAAATTTTTGACAATGGGTCTGACATAAGACCGAGTGGTCCGAAACCAAGGGCCAAATAGATAGCCTCAGTTGGAGTACAGAATAAAAAAATCCCTGATAGGGTTCACTGGGAAAGTTTTTACAGCTTAGTATGGTCCAAATTGTGATTTTAGACCACCATGAGATTGGCAATCAAAAACAACGTTTATTAGATTGGCAAATTATTATTTTTATACTTTTTGATCCAACGACCTCATCATGGTGTCGGAATGAAGTCCATAGATAAAAGATTTAAAATGAATTAGACAATGTTCACTTGGGTATAACATTTCGATACAGACATATTATTATTATCATGATTAGTTCTGATGCTATGGATCACAGAATTAGACTGATTTAATATAATATACTGGAAGACACTTCACAACTATCCTAAGGTTCCTACCATTGCTGACTGGTTGAGCTGCGGAAAGTTAATAATTTAATAATTCATTAATATAAAATTACTGTATTGGAATGAAAACTTTTTAGTGCCTGATTATTAATATATACAGTACTGTAACATGGTTCTATACAATATGTCTACATCATGCTCCTGAAAAAGAAATTATCAAATAAAAACATTAAAAGTGAACAAAATAAGCAATGAAACCCTCTCCTATATATCCCTTGCTACTAACACATTCCCTACTTAGTAACAAATCCTCTACCTACCAAAGCCTCCCCTCTCCACTAATACATGCCCTCCCCACTGACACACACTTTCCACAATAAAGCATGCCCTGCTCTCCACTAACACATCTCCTCTCCATTGGAAGTGGTCCCTAAATGAAGACATTGTCCCTGAATGTAGTATGACAGCAATGTTAAAATATACAGTAGGAATAAAATCATTCTGGACCTTACTTGACAGATATTTTTGAAATATTTATCATTATAAATTCTTCATCAGATATTACCAACTTTATTAACTTGGTAACCTATAAAAATATACTATTTTTAAAAATGTAGATTTAAATTAATTTATTTATTAATATTTAAAGAATAGTTTTAGACATACTTTGCCCTGGAAGTAAATGGTTGAGAATGGGATCTGTATGCTACCAAGCCAACGTCGTTCAACTCGTCGGTGGACAGTACTAGCTGTTTGTCTATTATCTTCCAACATGTCAATCACTACCTCATCAAACAGGTTTAAGTAAACCAGGTCATTGATACTTTGTAAGTTGGTGGGTGAGTAGTCATTGTTTGGAGCTCTGTAACAAGCAACAGTAAGAATTAAAATTAATACCCATAATATATTAATAATAATGATGGTGATTATACTGAAGATTATGACAATGATGATGGTAATTATTATGATGATAATGATGGTACAGGAGAATTATTTTGATGAAAATGATGATGATAATAATAATAATAATAATAATAATAATAATAATAATAATAATAATAATAATAATAATAATAATAATGTCTATAATTTAACGATAGAGTTGAATAAGAAAAATAAGAACACATTATGCCAAAAAAAGGGTAAGCTGCGACTGAATAGTTAAGGTGCCTGCCTTTGAATCCCAGGGTTCTGATTCAATTCTTGTCCTAAACGGTAAGGAATTTACTTACCACAGAGAATTGGTTATGCAAAGACTATTAAGTGCTATAAATTACCAGCTTTCTACTCCCTATCAAGAAACTCAGTTAACAATCATTTAGGGCTCTAAATTATAAGCTATTGGATAAACCACCTTTTGGAAAAAAGTACTGAAATTTTAAATTAGCATCTAGAACCATAGAAATGGAAAGCAAGCATCTTATCGACAGCTCTAGCTTACTTGAATGGCATAGCAATTTCTTCATTCCAGTTGGGGTTTGGTCCTTCTGTTGTAGTGGTTTTTTTCTTATTTTGCTGGAATAACACCTCAACAAAAGGCCTCACAATATTCTAAAAAAGATGAAAATATCAAAGAGAATTTTTAATGTTTTTTTTTTCAATCAAATATAATAACAGCAACAACAGCAACAATATTAGTAGTGGTGGTAGTAGTAGTAATATTAGTAACAATATGAATAACAACATTAAAACAACAATAACAACAATCGAGAAGTTTTAATAACATAAATACTAATGCTGTTTATAGGCAAAGAACTCTATTATTATATACAAGGTCTTTGGTGAAAGGACAATACATAAACAAGTTCACCAGATTCAAGCAAAAGTATTCAAGTAAAAGAGAATTCAACAACAATGTACAACTTGACAAACCTGTGTTGTTTGGTCTGATGAAGAACCAAATCCAGGGCTGAAAAAATATGATAAAAAAGAAATATAATTTTTTTTCCAAAACAACTACCAACATGTGCAAAATTTAAATTAATTATCATGTATCAATTTATTTATGGCAAATGCTGCTTCTGACATTCATCAAAAATTTGTAAAAAGTCAAAAATAAAAACAATACTAGAAAAAAATCACCAAGCTTTGTTTGCAATGAAATCAAAATTGCTGTTAGTTTTGGAAAATAATTAAACAACTCATCAACTATCTAATCAATAATCAAATTTCCAATAATTAACCAATCATCAACCAAGCAATTATTCCAATAATCAATCAACTGATAAAACAATCGACAACAAATCAATCATCAAATATCCAACCAATTACCTAATCAAATAACCACCAAATAAATCTACCGAATCATTCATCAGTCAATAATTAACAAATCAATCAATCAATCAAAAATTAATTATTCAATTAATGATAAATCAATCATAAACCACCCACTCTATCACCATTAAATCAATAAAAGACTTCTGACTACCTTGGAGATGATGACCTAACAGGGATATCAAAAGCCCTTTCAATATTGATGAGTATGTGGACATCAAGTCCAGCCAGATTCTGAGCTGTAACTGTCTTGCGTTCCTTCCGTTGAGGTCGTAGAGGGCGCCGTGGCTGGGCGAGCTTTAGAAGGTTACCACCGAGTAACCTGCATATGAATAAAAAGAAGCATTTGTTTTTATATCTAAATTTAATTATTTCTTTTATACCAACACTATACTGTACATGAATATAGAAGTTAAAAGCCAACAACTAATTAGGCAATTATTCTTTGAGTTTATTTATATTATATTCAGGTTGAAGTTGATCTTTAATTTGATAACAATGGACTACGGTAAAAATTAATAACTATCGCTGAGATAATACAAATAATAATAATAATACTGAAGACAAAGAAGATAATAATATTCTTAATAATTAATAGCTTATAAGCGCTTGTATAGAATACCAAGAAATTAAAATCTTTGACAGAGCTACAGTATTCTCACCCAATGTTTGGCACAGCCTCCTCATTGACAACATCCTCAAGACAGAATTGATGCTGAGCAGCTAGGAACCTTGCCATCACCTGGGCACGTACCTGTATGTAAAACAGAATTGGTAGTGTGTTATGCTCTGTTTAAATTTGCAATGGCATATATCTGTAATATGCCCATATACGGGAAGGTTGATGTAATATCCTACCCATATATTAGGGCACGAAGATGTCATTTCACACACATGAGGCATGTTGTGGCAAAATGTCTAAGTTCAAAAATTGAAATTCAAGTTATTGGCATTTTCAGATACCTGAGTATGTGGTCTTTAAAATGAGGGGTCATTCATTGAAATTGGACATTTCAAGCCTAAGTTATTGGAAAGTGAAAGTACAGTACTCTTAGTCAAGATAAACATGATTTTGAGTAATTACTTTTCAAAGCTATTTGTGCATACATTATTTAATAGAATGAACTATGAAAAATAACGTTAAATAAACAATTTGTTAACCACTTCCAGAACTAATACTTTGGGACATGATTAATAATAGATTAAACTGTTGATCTATAGTGAAAAACAAATTTAGATTTTTAGGCAATTTTTTGAGCTCCCATATTTTATAGCTTATTTACTCAATACTGGACTGTGTGACAACTTAACCATTTCACCACAACATGCCTCATATACGGACATATATAGCCCCCCAGCCCCCCTCTGGCGCCCCCACTGGCTCATACTCGATAAAATATACTGTAGCCTGGTTCTCACGAGAGTCCTAGTATCCGGATCGGGAGCTAACCGTTAGCACCTGCGTGAGAACGCCCGATCAGTTAGCGCTAACCATTAGCTGTATCCAGATACGCTAACGGTTTGCAATCGCTATCGGTTAGCAAGTTGAGGGCGTTTCTATCATCAACCAATCACACGTATGCATTTACAATTTCCAGTTTCTTATTGGCCAGTGATTCGATCATCATATTGTTGGTATCCGGATTGGGATTTTCTCGCATGGACGCACAGCAGCTAATGGTTAGCAAAATCCGGATCCTGCTAACCGTTAGCTGCCGTGTGAGAACATAGCCAATATATGGTTCATAGCTTAGATATATTAGAACCACCTACCTTGCCAAGGAACTTGGCAACAGCTGCTCTGTGTGGTTCCATGTCTGCCGACACAATTCCTTGCTCTTCTTTATATTTCCTGCTTTCATAATCCTGAAACAAAGCAGAATTATTTCATGAAAATAAATATACATTATAAACTCTTTTTTTATGCAATATAATACATTAAAATCTTATGAAGGGACAAATTGACTATTGGTGTTTCTGTAAAACACTTAAAAACAATATATTACCTTAAATATTTCATCTTGAATTTCCTTTTCTTGGCATGGAATAAATTTAATATTCCGGAATTCAGGAATCTCCTTCTGTCGATATTCTATCATCTGAAATCGCTTGGAGTTGTTGAGATCTTCATCACTTACAAAGTTGAACTCTTCTTGGAGTTGTTCAAGTCGAAAGTAATCAGGAATCTGAGCTTGTGATCCATCGCCACCTCTCAACATCTGTAAATATAATACATAAAATCATATTTAAATATAGGAAAGAAAATTAGTGATGAATTGGTCAGACCTTAGGGGAGTTAAAGGTCGTGACATACACAAGAGTCTTAACTTTAAGTGCACCATAATAGTTGCCTAATTATGCTCCAGGAGCTGAGAGTTTGATTTTATGACCAGTAGTGTATAGATGATAAAAAAGCCGACATTATTGTTATCAGAAAAAAAAAATTGTTATGCACTGTAAACTATTATGCTTTGACATATCTGTAATTTGCCTATATATAGGCATGTTGATGTCATAACACACGAACAAATGAGCATAATGCACAGAGTTATAAGAATACTAGAGCGCTAACTCCAGTACAAGTTCAAAATTCGCAGATCTGTGTGTATGTACCATAGGCTTAGCAAGCAAGCCGTCCGACAGTCTTTTGGACGGCCTACAATTATTTAGGACGGCCTACAATTATTTAGAACAGCCACTTTTACCGTGATGGCTTGGATGGCTTGGCCTAGCCTAATTGGGCCTGGTCTACCTTTAGCAAATTCTTTATATTCTTCAAATCTATCAAATGTTACATTAAACTAAAGCTAAATAATATATACGTTTGATAAAAACAACATTTATTGATTGAATGTACGTTGTTTTCGTACCAATATTCCGTGGATTCAAATATGGGCGTGGCCCACCCATAGGCTCAGTGCCACGCCCACTGGCTTCCATTTTGGACGTTCTATTTCATTTTTCTGGCCCTGGTATGTACTCAACAAGATGCCTGCTGTAGATCCTGCCAATCAAAATATGCCTAAGCATAATTTTCGATGGCGCTCTCAATTTAACATTAAAGTTGTGAGTTACCCATATGGTTAAAAAGTTTTGCGGTGTTGAGGTGTAGTGAACACAATTTTGATTTTCATTCCTCAGTACTTAATTTTTAAATCATAACCTAATGGCTAGACTAGTATAATAATTTATTAATACTATAATTAACAATGATAATAATTAGTCAGGTCTTATTTATGGTTGTAATATGTATACTACACCTCATGGTGTGCTTTCCTACGGCGGCAATCTTGTTGAATACACACACATACACACGCACAACTCTGCATTGCTTCATCACCTAGTTAGCACTAGTTGTTATAATACTTCTATGGCATAATGATAACTTATCACATTTATATAAAGGCAGATCATAGGTAGCCAAATGGCCACATCAAGAAACTACGTAATACCTTGATGGAGACATGATCAATGTCTGATGTCTCTTCGGAAAAATGGTGCACTATGGCAACAGCTCCATAACAGAAAAGCAAGAAGTAGAGTTGCTCCCAAGTTTACTCTAATTACATTAGATACACCTACCTTTACTGTGTGGATGAGATTGGAATTGACTGGGTCATTGGGGTCAAGTCTAGCTTCATTAATCCACATTGAAAGTTTCTCAATGTCAATGACACCACCAGCACCCAAAGCAGACATGGCATCATATTGCTGCTGAGCTCTGGAGAATCAAAATAAAGTTGATTATCTTTAAGTTATGAATAAAAACATTTTCTATATTGGACAAAATATATGTATTTAAGTAAATAAATAACATAACATACAAAAGCATCGCAAATACGATTATTAAAATAATTTTTAAAAAAAACAGTAAATAGGATATAAAATACTGGAGTAATCCACTCACAAAGATGAATCCTTGGAAACACAAAGTTGCCAATTTTCGCCATATGTAATGAATGCTAAATCCACAATCAATATATTATATTACCTGTAAACATTATCAATCTACTGTATAAAATATATTATATTAAACATTATTAATCTACTGTATACACATTGATCCAACCTGAAGATATGAACATTGGTGTATCTAAGCTATTTTTTGATCGCTACTGAAGTCAAACTCCTCCAGGTCTACGACAAATATATAAATTGAAAGCAAGTAAGAGATGTCACAGCAATGCTCACCTGACAGCATTAGGATCTTGAGATTGTGGTGGTATTAATGGACGGTCATCCTCTCCCATCCCCCAAGCCACACTGGACATTATGACGCCAGAGGTTAACGGAGTAACTTGTTTGGGGTTATCCCCTTCACCTAGCTCAAATGTGTAGCCTGTCATTGTAGGAAAATATGAACAAATGAAAAATATACAGAAGGTTATGCAAATGGAAAAACAGGAAAATATATTATATTACCTGTAAACATTATCAATCTACTGTATAAAATATATTATATTAAACATTATTAATCTACTGTATACACATTGATCCAACCTGCAGATATGAACATTGGTGTTTCTAAGTGTATTGAAATGGGGAAAGGGGAGGCTGATTGGGGGGGGGTGGGAAAGCACAAATGTGAAGTAGGAAGGCTCAATGATCAAGTGATGGGAGCTGGCAAAAGTAAGGTGGTACAAGGTGATTTTTTTTTGCATTTTAGCATAATTTGTTTTCTTTCCAGTGGAGCAGGGCAACTGAGGGAGGGGGTGGCGGGCACAAGCTTTTTTAGAAGGGCAGAAGTCTACCCGCACACCCCTAGATATGCCACTGGTTAGGCAAGTACATTAATCTTACCACTTCCAACAGCACTGTGGGTGTAAGCTATTTTTTGATCGCTACTGAAGTCAAACTCCTCCAGGTCCACGACATCCGTTGTGATCCGGGTTGCTGGTATTGCCAAGAAAACTTCAGCAAGCATATTGTTAATCATACCAGACTCAAATACCTGGAAACATAATTTTAAAAATGCCTTGTTTAAATGTATAATATATTATACATGTATTATATAGTAAAGAAAGTAAAACAAAAATATGTTTTTATAATTAATTATACTGTTGTAAAAAAGAGAATAAATAAATAATATCATCATCAACTAAAGCAAATACCAATTTTACAATTTAATACTAATAATAATGTTACTTGCTAGCTAACTCTTCATTTTTTTTAAAAATAAGAGTGAAATGCATCTTACCAATAAGAGTGATTATTAATTTTTGATAGTATCAAAATGACCTGTTATCTCCTTTTATATCATGAAATGTAAAAAAAATAAAAACTAAAGTATGCATCATAACAACTTATTTGATCCTTTATAATGAGGTATTCACTTTTTTCAAATTTTATGACAAACAGTATACCTGATTTCTTAAAGATTATGTTTTTTCTTACCTGTAATTTAATGCTCTCCGGCCACTGTACTATCTGAACATTAAAGATTTCTCCAAATCGAATGGTAAAATCAGATGATAAGGTTCTAAAAAACAATATTTATTAAATGTATTAAGTGAATGAGAAACTACCTAGATGGACAACCACACAGAGTAAGCATACTAGTTTTTTCCAAAAGAATATTTTTCTACTCTACAGGGTAAGTTAAAGTGCCAACTAATAAACATCTATGTACATAAAACATACAAGCAAGTTATATTTGTTAGTTGATCTATTTTGGTGTAGCATGATTAAAATACTGTATGTTTAGTGATATTCTAGCATATTGTGTTGACCAATCAACACCTGGGCAACATGTATGGCGATTAATTTTGATAGAATACTGTAAATACAGCGAGGATCTATTCACAATGAAAGTTTATTCTGAAAGTTTAGGGTACAAAATATGCAATATAGACTAACCTGACCCCAGTCCTGGAAACTTCCTTATTGTTAATAAGTACCTTGATGAAGCACCGTGATTTCTGCATATCGTTTCTCCGACTCTGCTCTTCCTTGGCACAGTCACTAGAGGGCGTTATCACTGCAGTGTTGCTGAGCTCAGGAAATAGGTATGGCTCCCCTTTATATTACAGTAAAAAATATCTTACTATTGCTTTCAATATTATTTTAATTACAAAATAAATCAATTACATATATTATAAGTGAATCACAAAACAATATTCAAATTTAGTTACCTGGCTTCCTTCTCATCTGTTTGTATTTTTGTTTCAATATAATTTTTTCATTTTCTTCATTGAAATCTTTTTGTGGTTTATCTGGCTTAGGAACTTCAAGAACACTATCCTGTGGCTCTGCATCTGATTCTCCTTGGCTTTCTGTCAAGCCTTCCCTTGATCCTCTCTTTGTTTTCTTACCTTTTTTCTTCTAAAAATATAATAGTATATAAAGTCAATTAGAATTAATACCTTCCATACCTTCTTTTTTATGGGGGGATTTTCATGCCAAATTTTATAAAAACAAACAATGTAAATCCTGAAAAGTGTTGAATTTTGAAACTGAGATGATCTCTAACCATAATGGAAGAATTCCAAAAGAATATACAGTACAGGTTTGGTGATAACCAATCAAATAGATCGGTCTAAGGATCTTTGCTTTAAAGTCTTAAATAGCTTATATGATGGCATTAATCTACACAAATTTCATGTAATTTACAAACACTGATTCATAATCTGTGGCTAATGTTCTGAGACATTTTATTCTGGTTTTTACCTTTTCTTTCATGAATTTTTTCCACTGTTCCATTTCAGCCTTATACACTTCCATCTGTTTACTGTATTGTTGTTGGTGTTCTTCTCTAAGTTCCTCTAATTCTTCCGCCATGTCTAGTTTCCAGACTTGTTCATCAGCAGCTTTGTCCGATTCCTCCCTGAATAATTATAATATAATTATGTTCTTTGCTGTGGAATTATTATACTTCTGCTAAATGTAATATTAAGCCCTGTCAAAGACTATCAAATTCCATTTGACAAAAACATGTGACATAAATATGGTCATGATGACATCACATCATGATCATATATAGGCACATCATGACTATATATGGGCATAGTGTGGACTGAGCTTAACAGTGATCAACATTTATTTATTATATATTTAAGCACATGATCCAAGGTTTGCCAATGTGAACATACAACACATACCCTACATTACAATCTCATTATAAGGCTAAGATTTAAGTTGTTTTTAGTCATGAAAGAAATCCTGGTATCACAAGATTTGAAACAAGTACTGTGGAATTTGAAGGAAAACAAATTTACCACCAAGCTTTACTTCAAAGAAACTCAAACAAATGAAATTGAGTAAATATCCTATATCACTATAAATATTGCATTTTATATTATATATCTTCTATAAAACATCTGAGACCTATCCTTGTTGTGTTAATGTCCTTGTTGATATATTTTGTTCATCCCAATTTTTACAGGTTATATATCTTTTTTGAAGGCTTTTTTTAAAAGTTATTATTAATGAGTGTGCAACTAAGCAAAGGTAAGATAGTAACAGCTGGGTTATCTTTTACCATTTTGTCTTGAATTTGATATCTCTATATATGTACTTTTTTAGATGTGCTATGACATGATGACAAAACAAAGATTATTGTATCCATATTTGTATAAGAACAGAGTATATCTCCTGCTTAACAACAGAGTATTCTTACTTTCTGATGGTTAATTTGAGTGGTGTATTTGTGCAGCCTTGTTTTTCTCTCAGGACTTTGATTTCTCTCCAGGTGTGCAGCATGTTTTTAAGAAGTGTTCTGTCATTCAACATCTCACTATCACGCATCTTTCGTATTTGTCTGTAATAAACAACAAATTATGTAAAAAAGTGATAACATCAAAGAGAAATGCCATCAAATGAGGCCAATGTTTAACCACTCAGATTTTAATGTGCAATTGTAATCTTGATTCAGTGGACTGCTTACCTGGAAATCCTAACATATACATATACATATATATATACATAACAAATCAAACATGACAGTGATCACGATCCTGGCACTATTACATGGTACATATTTATAGGAGCATAAAGTATATTTGCTATTGCCAGTCATTGTGGGTTAAGAGGGTATGTCTTAAGGAGTGTGTTTATAGGGGGTGTACTAAATCAAATCAAAAAAAAAAATATATACTTTTATTTTTCATACAATAAAGTAATACAACAAATATTAAAATGCAAAAAAAAAAAAATTGAAACAAATACATTGTATGGAAGGAGGCTACAGTAAGTTCTACAAGAGCTTTAAGACATAGCCACCTTTACAAAAAAGTTGGAAAAATGACCGGTACCATTGTTTAGTTTTATCTAAACTAATAGAATCACAGAAACGATATACCAATAAAATTATAATAATTCCAATCCATTTTTGTATACGTTTTTAAAAAAACACAAGACCAGACACATTATTTCTAAGACTCAAATAGAAATGAATGGAAGAGAAGGAAAAAGATAATTAATTGCCATATACTGAGACCAAAGACTTCTTAAGGTGGTATTTAAAACTATTCAATGTGAATTTATTTTTTAGGTCATCAGAAACATTAGCCTATAATTTCAGACCCCAAAACAGAAGTGAAAAATGCCTGATACTAGATGTGCATGGAGTACGAGAAGTATAATTGTTGCTAGAAAATCTTGTATTATATTGATGATGTTCAGATGCACTTGTATATAGATTACTGATGTTGGGTGGTATAGTGTTATGTGATAAATGATACATAAAAGCAGCAGTTTGAATTTTATTTAAATGCAGGGGAAGCCAGGCCCCACCCCACCCCCCTCCTTCTTTTAGGAGGTTAAAAAAAAAAAAAGAAAGAAAAAGAAAAAAATTATATCCCAGAATGCCTCAAATGTTATTTTCAGGCGTCTAGAACACAAAAATTTTGAGAGGGCATGACCCCAGACCACCTAGGATAGTGTTGTCTCGTTTGACCAACTTTTGGCCCCCCCTTTGGACATCTCTGGATCCGCCCCTGAAATCGTATACATTTAAAACATTAAAGTGATAAAAGATGTGTTAAGTGAGCTCTAAAAGATTCACCTGAGCAAATCCGAAGGGCTCGTTTTTGAAGGCGAAAAATGCAATCGACGTTAGTCGATTCAAAGCTAGACCTGGGACATAAAGTTTCGAACTTATTTAAAGTAATTCCCCAAGCAATATTGCAATAAGAAATATAAAGTAATACTAAAGTATTATATAAGGTTAAAAGAATTTTTGATGGAAAATAATGCTTTAGCTTGTTTAGCATACCAATGTTACGTGCAATTATGTTGGATACCTGGTTGATTTGATTTGATACTAACATCCTTACCTGACTTCCTTTTGGTAGTCTAGCACCCTATGCTCAAGATCAGGTATAATAGGTAGGTCAGCATCTCTCTCTTTCATATTCACAACTTGTTCTCGAAGATTCAGTAAAGCAGATTTGAGCACTTTCAACTGAAACAAACATGAATTAGAAATCAGCTATGCTAATAGTAAGATAAAACAAGCACCACCAAATACAAATTCTGCCCTGCTGTCTTTTGTACCACTCCCTTCATTAACATCATCTTCACAGCTATAGGCACTGTTATCATTATACAGATCAACACTGTTTTACCATCATAACTATTTTCCCTATCTATTTTACTATCATCAGACCAAAAAGCATTGGGCTGCCCAAGTCAGACAGAGCCAGAATCTTGAAAATCATCATTAAAAACATGACCTTCACCACTATAAACCATTATCATTTTGGTTGTTACCATCATTATTATAATCACAATTATCACTATCATCACTATAATAATCATCCTTGTTTTTGTTACCATCATAATGATCAAATGTTTACCTTATCTGAGTAGTAGTCCCCAAGTCCTTTCTTGCTTGAGGTGAGGTATTGGTCAAACAACTGCTGGAGCCTTGTGGCCAACACATGTTCCTTGCTGAACAAGGAATGGTGGGTAAAGATGAGCATGTTGACATCAAGGTCTAGTTGATATTGACCATAATCATCACCATGACCATCAATGAAGCGATTATCAAATTCTGAAGAAACCGGCTACGAAAATAATAAAAAATATTCATACATAGTGCCTAATACACCTCAATGCACTGATTTGGAAACTCAGTAATATGCCACAATATTATGAGTTTGAAGAAGTAAGTCTTTAAGGGTATAAAATTCACTCTAAAAACTTTGGACATTTAGATACAACTTAATTAAATATATTCTTGCTATAAGGTTAGGTGAGTGCATATTATTTTGCAACATCTTTGACTTATAAAATCAAGCGCTATACTTACTCCTCTGTACACAGTTTGCAAGCCTATTTCAATATCTTCTGAGTTAAGAATCCTTGGCCTAGATGGGATTGCTTTGATGGGGTTGGGTAAGGCTTTTATTCGCCCATCATCACCAAACCAATTCTTACCCTACCAAGTTCAGATACAAACAAAATTAAAATAAATTTTTAAATAATTATATACACAAACAAGATAATCTAAGATTGAAAACCCTCGTCCTGCTTCGCCATAACTATACTGAAAAAATAATGGCAATTATGTACATTGCAGTCTTTTCCCCATATAATAAAAAAAATCCTTTAAAAATCGCATTCTAATTACGATTAACAATAAATTTGTGACAAATGCATGGAGAATTGTCATTTATATAATACTAATTTTTTTTTTTTCACATTTTATTATGAGACCTAATTTGACACACCCCTTCTTTGGACCATGGTCCATCTGCTTGAGTTGGTTCGGTCTAACAAAACGAGGCCTAGCATCATAGGCCTCAGGTGGCATGTCCATCAATCAGGCAAGTTTGCACGCAGGCCGGACAGCTTCCAGTTGGCTCGGCCTAGCATCATATAAACCAAATTCAAGGAGGACTGAGATACATGTAACACTGTCAATGTGTGAATATCTGAAATAAATTGGTCCAGTAGATTTGGAGCTATGTGTCCGGAAGGACACACACCACACAGATGCACATTATTGCGTTACCCTTCACCTCTCTTTCTGAGAGCCAAGGGTAAGACATAAACTTAAGCAATATTTGATTCATGTCATTTTGGAAATTTCGTTTTCACATCCGACAGCAAATTATAAATGGAATGATGCATAGGGAATGGATTTGTTTTTGATATGAGGAAATAATCCTTGTGTCTGGTAGGATTTCAACTCAGGATCCTGGATTAGAAGACAGGCACCTAAACCACCAATCTCATCTCCATGCAGTACACACCAAAAAAAAAAAAAGCCTTTGATGCAAAGGCAAAAGTATTTTCTAGTCAAGTGAAAGGAAAAAAAATTAATTTAATTAATTTAAAAAAAACTAAGTTTAGTGCTGCCTGGCATACGCCAGAAAAAGCAGTCATGTGAAATATCCTGCAGGGTTTGAACGCAGAGCACCCAAAACACAACTCCACTCAAAGGGAACTAGAGCAATACCTTGTTAGATGACATCAAAAGTCGAGCCTCCATAACATTTTGGTTCCTTCTTGTGACCTGGGGTCGGACACCAACATAAAAACCTTCATCTTCTAGATATCGAGGCTCAACATCTTCTGAGATCTTATCTTCAGGAGGAACTAGAATATATTGAAAAAAAATCACAGATAGAACTGGAATTTGAACAGATCTTGGAATAGCTTAACTTTTCAAAAGCAAAAATGATTACCAGATAGGGCAACAAATACAGGTGGTGACATATTTTAAAATAATATATAAGTATACTAAGGCACTTACTTGTTTTCACACTTGGCACAAAAAAATATCCCTCTAATTTCTCATCCCTTTCATGCATCGTCAAATAATCAGGCCCAAGATATTCTATTGGTTGATCACGCCAATCTTCATTGTGAACAAACGCGTCTGACGTCAATGGCTGTGCCTCATCCGTCTCTCCTTCCTTAGCTTCTGGATCCTCCTCTCTGGCAGAAGTGCTAGGACCTGCAAGCTCTTCTTGAGAAGCTACTGGTGATTTGGGTGGTTCTTCAAAGTTCTTCGTGAAGAAGTCATAGCACATCTCATTACTTGGTAGATCTTTCTGTGAAGCACAGCAAGTACCAAAATATAACTCTCATTATTATCATCACAATCTATAGTTTTGTCAGAGATTGGCATCATGTAATACAGTATTAGATTTATATAGCTCTTGACAAAGTCTCAAAGTACTCGAGGTGTGGACCAGCTCCTACAGCAAAGCTGGGCAAGCACTGCGCCCAATGGTAGTCAGCTAACGCCATTCTATAAAGAGCGCAATGCGACGACACGTCATGGCATCGTATTAGCGCTCACAGGGAACTGAGTTGGATTCGTTGTGGGACGGTCGTACGGCCGTCGTACAATGCAGTGAGTGCAAGGATTAACTTGCTTCTCCCCTAAGGGCCTCTTTTGAGTCTGAACTACCAGGTTATACCAGTACCAGCTACTCTTGTCTGTCCACAACAGGGGCTGACTGGACCAGTACACTGGATTAACCACCTACTCCTCTTGGAAGGTTCTTTAAAGTGCCCTTCGTATCATTGTATTTTGTTATTTATAGATTGATCTGAAATGAAGTTGATTGATTGATTGATTGATTGATTGATTGAAAGGTAAAATTCTTCAACTGTAAATAATGATGATGATGAAGAAGCATTGTTCAATATCAATAATACTGAATTTGATTGGAAATATTGTACAATATTCAAATTGTTACCCTCTTTGTAGTAACAGCATCCTTCCATTGTTTTACTTTTTCTAATGCAGCTGCTTCGGCCTCTTCTTCTTTCTTCTTTTTCTCTTCTTCCTTTGCCCGTTCCTCTTTAGTCATCTGATTTCAGGGATGAGAAGTAATAATTGCTATCACACCTTATAAAGCATCAGTAGAATGACTATATATCAAACCTATACCAGTACCATAACCTATAGCAGTAACCCAACCTGTACCAGTAACCCAGATCTTAGAGTGCAATACTCATAAAACATGCACAGTACTGTACCTAGCTCACTGTAAATACAAAAGTATTTCAAAATAATGTGGCTTTTAATTAGATCACTGGTGGGTGATGAGATAACTTGGTTAAAGTTCTTTGCCAAAGTACCTTACCTATATAAAAACAAATACAGTACCTGGTACACTTACACGGCACCCTGACTTGGTACACCTATGGGTACAGCTACCTGGTAAATCTACCAGGACCCCTAGCTTGTACACCAACACAACATCTATCTCTAGTACCCCTACTTTGTTCTACTAGATCCTCCTACAGTAAACATTCAAAATATTTAAAAATCACTAACCAATGAAGGGTCATCAAACCGTGTTGTAGCTGTGGTTCTTGGTCGTAACCTCAAACGTCTTGCTGGTCGATCTTTTTCCTTATCATTTTCAACCTCTTCCTTCATTTTCTGTTCAGCTTTCTCCTGAAAGTAGTAAAACAAGAAAAATAATAATCTATTTCACTAACAGCCCTAAACTTGCCTCACATCAGGGGGCTGAAAGTATCACCATTTCTACTACTATTAGTAGTAGTACTGTAGTAGCAGCAAGAATTAGTTGTCACTGAACAGTAGCAGTAGTAGTAGTTTTGTAAAATAATATCAATAATAATCATTGTACTTCAATTAGTAAGTGTGATATTAAACATAGACAGATTTATTGAGTTTACTAATAAAATTGTAAATCAGCATCAATCATGTTTGGTTTATAATATATCAAATTATCAAAGCAAATACTAAAAATAAATCTAAAAAAGTCCAAGTAACAAGAACACTGCATAGTGATCCTTACTTTAGTTTGCTGCATTTTTCTTCTAATCCTCTCCTTGATGGCAGTATTGAAACTAGGCTGTGCTTTATCTCCGGGAGACACTCCAGTCTTAGCAGCAAGCACTGCCTCATCCATACTCATTGGTTCTAATAATAAACAATGTTTGTATTATTTACAAGTTATTTAACATGCCAATCATTTGTTGTCATTTTTAAAGAGGGCACCTGGATATCAGTTGGCCTACAGGTTCAGCTTGAAGGGTTACCCTCTTAAAATAAATTTGAAATAAAAAAAAAATAAAAGAAATCACACACAACATGTAACTTGGTTCTTCCAAAGACATTCCTAGTCATGTATGAATACTAAACTATTAACGAATATTCAACATAATTTGGAATGAATAATCAACACAGGGCATTCCTAGTCATGTAGGTTAGGTTCACACTAGAGTGCTAGTATCCGGATTGGGAGCTAACCATTAGCACTAACCGTTAGCACTGTGAGAACACCCAATCAGTTAGTGCTAACTGTTACCAGTATCTGGATACGCTAGCAGTTTGCGAGTAATAGTTGGGCGTGTTGCTATCATTAACCCATCGCACATACTGTACTCGCGTGTATAAGCGGCCCGTTTGAAGAAGCGCCCCTCTTGAATAAGCGCCCATCCTAACACAAAAATTTTCTTAAGCGCCCCGTTTGAATAAGCGCCCCCTCAATAATATCATAAGATTTTTTTTTTAGCAAGTCAATAATCCAATCAATCCTGGGACTGTGGTTGTTGGCATGAGTGGAATACCATTCTTCTTAGTTCAATATCAAAATGAGGATATTTTTCGCAGACCCCTGGACAGACAGTATATTTCCAACTTTTCTCCTCTTATATATTTGTCTAGGCCTAGTCCAACTCCCCTTTTTCTTTTTCCGACAATTTGCACCTTTAGCACATTCTCATCTGAGTTTTCAAGATATTGCCATAAGCGCCCCCTCAATTTCCACTCTGTTTTCATAAGTGCCCCGTTTAAATAAGCGCACCGTTTGAATAAGCGCCCCTCAGAAAGCGCAAAAAATATTGTAAGCGCCCAGGCGCTTATGTGCGTTACACAATTCCAATTTCCAGTTTCCTATTGGCCAGTGATCCCCTTGTCATCTTCCTTGATATCTGGATCGGGGATTTTCTTGTATGAATGCAAGGGTGAGTGCGTATGTTATTCAGCTGGATCCTGCTAACCGTTAGCTGGTGTGTATGAACATAGACGTATGAATACTAAGCGATTAATGAATATTCATAATTAGAAATAAATATTGAACATAATTAGGAATGAAAATTCAACACAGATTGTTAGTCCCCAAAACAAGCTAATATGTCAAATTATACTACAGTAGTGTCTTAGGGCCAAAAATACAATGCAAGCAGCAGAATAACATAAAAAAGGTGATAATTTCTTTGTTAATAAGCTAATTGTTGAAAGAAATTCATTTGTTTTCAGAAGACATCAGTATTATTTTTAATGTAATAATAAAATATATATAAAAGTAATATTTCGATATGCATTGATTCATAATTTAGTTTATTTATATTTTACTTTAGTAATATAGAATTAATTTCATAATTATAAGAAATTGCTCTCTCTAAGGCACCATTTTATTTCTCCTAAAGCAATTGTTTTTTTTTGGTTTTTTTTGGTTTTTTTTTTTTTTTGTAACAGTATAAACCTATATCAAAATGAAAAATTTGGTGATAGGATATAATGATTACTATTACCTCTAGATCGCCTTGCTTTGGGTTTTGTACTGTTAGGGATGTTCGCCTTCTTTTGTTTTTTTTTTTGTAACAGTATAAACACATATCAAAATGAAAAATTTGGTGATAAGATATAATGATTACTATTACCTCTAGATCGCCTTGCTTTGGGTTTTGTACTGATAGGGATGTTCTCCTTCTCACTACCTCCACTTCCTCCCTTTTCCTCATCTGGTATCATTGGAATCTCATCTTCTTCCTGAAAGGCTTGTGCTTTGGCTTTTCCCTTCTTCTTTGGTTTTGTTTTAAAGGACTGAACTCCAGAAACATCATCAGCAGATTCCAAAGCAGTTGACAACTGAAATATTTTACAAAGTATATTTCATGATGCCTATACACAATTTTCGCTAAATTCGAAATTAAAATTACCACTGGGGGGGAAGGACTTCCATAGGCCTAGGCATTTCGCTCTACATTGTTACAGTGTTTACTGTGCTGTGACTGGTTCACGACCTTGTAGTTGGCTAATCTTTGAAAACAAAATGCCAAAAAAAAAAAAAAGAAAGAAAACAGGGGCGCATAAAACCTGCAGTGTATTTGTTTGTCAAAGTACTCAAAAGAAGATGTGTCTGGAAAAACCAAGTTTACTCAAGGTAGGTTGCTGGATGTCCGCCAGTAAAATTGAGAGACATTGGTGACACTGTTTCGAAATAGACCCGATAAAATGGTGTATATACCGTATATAATTATTATCTTCTGATGATGCTTATTATATGCTTTGTTTTCATTTTTCCAACCACTTCTTGTCTTTGGTGCATATGTACAAGAAAACTTTTGCGGGTAATACCTGTTGCGGCACACAAGCAAAATGGACAGAATGAGTTACAAATTGCTTAAAAATCAAGAGAGCCTGACCAACAACTGTCATTACCTGCTCCCATTTAATGAAAAAGCATTTTTTAAGTTACCTCCCTCTTCTTCTCTTCCCTCATTGATGCGAGGTTTTCCACTAAGTTTTCTGCATCTTGTAATTCTTCTATTCTCTACATAAAAACAAAACAATAACAAACTTGATAGACTTTTCAACCATTCTCATATTCTTATACAGTTAAACTTACCTAAGTCGACTGTGCCTAAGTCATCAAATAATTTCTAAGTCGATCTTCTTTTACAAGCCAAATTGTTGTGTTTCCATTAATTAACAATCTGTCAGTCAAATTTTATCTAAGTCGAACAATATTTCAATGGCATTGGATTCGACTTAAGCAAGTTCAACTGTACTGTATCATGGATGCTTGCTTGAAGTCCTGTCCAGACTATCAAATTTTATTTGACAAAAACCTGTGATATGCCTAAATATGGTCATGATGACATCACATCATGACCATAGGGACATACAACATATATGGACATACAACATTTTTTGTCACAGAAAATATTAGAGGGGACTGGGATCTAATGCTTGTTCAGACTACCAAATTTTATTTGCACATGTGACATGCCTAAATATGGTCATGATGACATCACATAGGCACATCATGACTACATGGGCCTACAACTGTTTCTGTCAAAGAAATTTTGATAGTGTGAACAGAGCTTTAGACATCTGATCAAACATATTATGTCTCCATGTCTGATTAATACATGGTTTGTTTAGTCTAACAAAAATCTAGAACTTGCTTTTTACATCTGATCAAACATATAATGTCTCGGAATATCAAACTTGTTACAACTTGTTAATAATTGTTAAAAGTTGTAATATTTTCTGCTAGTGTGAAATGGGTACAAGTCTGATTAATATATGGTTTGTTTAGTCTAACAAAAATCTAGAACTTGCTTTTGGAGCTCAGAATATATGTTATGTGTGAATATTAAAAAATGTAAGAATAATGAACATTTAAAATTGTACTTACATCGACATCCGAGCCACTATAGTTTCCATCTTCTTTGTCACTAACCTTCAAATTCTGTATGAACAATTATATGCATCATCAATCATTTAATCGCCTTTGCATCATTTATCAAATCATTTAATTTAAACATTCTAAATATACAATCACACTAATGCAAATACGTAAACACCTGGGAGCCCTCCAGTACCAACCAAAGGAGCAAAAATATTTAACAGATATATAATTATAATTAATATTTGCAATGCACTTAAAAAAACTATTTAAAAAATTTGACTTTCTGACACCAGCTTTGCATAAATTTTGCATATATTAATATTAGGTAAAATAGTACTGCATACTAGTGTCCTGATATTTTGACTTGGGCAGACTTTAACAGTGTGCATTCCTCACACTTAAGAGAGGATAAAACAAATCAAGGATATTATAGACAACATTTTTTTTTTTTAAATGGAGTAGGGAGTAACCTACTAACTTGCAGCATTATTGTGTCAGTCAAATTGAACAAACATTAAAATAAACCACTTTATTTATTTAAGGAAGAAACTAGACTTGCCACAAGTCCCTTGTTATAGTTTTCCTTTATTCTAAACAGCGCCGCCAATGAGTGAATAAAGCTGATTGGTTGAGTTATAATTTTATCTTCGGATGAGTTGTCCGAAAAAAAAAAATCCAGTATGGGACGCCGATTAAATTTGGTATGGCGCGTATTAAGTGCAATAAATAGTGAATAACCCAAAAATAATGCCTGGAACCTAGGCTAGGAAGAAACATACTGTACTACTTACCGCACCAGATCTAAGTGGCGTTCTGGAGCTCATTTCAAAGGCAGATGTTTCATCTTGCAGTCCAGAGTCTGTCATAGATTCCCGCAAGTCTTTACGTCTTTTCTGAAGTCTGTCTTTTAGTGTGCTATAATCCAAGATAAAAACGGCAGTACAGTATTCAATGACAATTTTTAATGAAATTGCAGGAGTCTTCAATAAAGTTTTCAATTATCATGGTGTTGGATTTTAAAAAATCTTTAAAAATGCATTTCTGATTGGATATTGGTATGTCATGCATTCATATGCAGACTAAAGGTTAAAGAAAGGTCACACATGTTTTGCATTCATCCATTGTGTATTAAAAATGTAGCTGACGTCAGAAGTTTATATTCTAATAAAATCCACATTTCTAGTACAATAGAACGGTAAATATACTTTTCTAATGATTAAAAATATATTGAGATAGATAGGTACATGTAATTAACATTTTGGCCAAACATGAAGGACTTTGACAGACTGCCAAATGGTTTTTAAGAGCAGGGAAATCAACCCAACTATCCACAACCACAGTGCTATGCAGTATACTGTACAATAAATTATGGCATCGCTTGAGTTTAGTATTGTATCCATTGTATAAACAATAGGCCTACATGACTTTTATGTACCAAATAAAAGTTGAATTGAGACACTTGTTGGTTTGTTGTATTTTCAAGCAGACAGTACTTTAGTATTATTATTTGAATAACACTCCTATACTTTAATAAATATAGTAGGTCTGGACAAGTATAGAACAAAATTAAACAGAAAAGGAATGAAAATATAGAGCCGCTCAAGAGACTGATAGGCTTCATGGGTATTTAGTAACTAGCCTCTGATGAGAGCAGCGGCCGCGCCAGGGGCCCCGACAGGGGTCTAAGTCTCCAACAAGAACATAGTGGAGTGTGATCGGGTGCCGCTAAAAACCTTTCGAAATTGGTCCAGGGATGAAGTCCTCCCGCCGTACAATTTTCTGGTTTCAAAGGCTTTTAATTGATTTTATTAGTCTATTAGTAGAAAAATATTTTTTTTCTCCCCGACAGTAAGGGGGGGGGGGCTGGAAGGGGCTGTAGTCCACTCTAGCCGCCGTCGCCTACCGAGGTAGGTCTACTCTATCTACACCAAGCCCAATCATCTGTCACTGTCAGGACTAGGAATCTCTCTCTGTTCGCCATTGTCTTGACATATCTTTTTCTCGGCGTCCTTTTTTTTGGGGGGTTTTCTTCAAATTCTTTTTGTTTTAGTTTCGACATCCAAAAAAAAAAAATATCACCAGCCTGTACTGTAGATAATTCATCATCCATGGTGTTTTGGCTTTTCAGGCTTCTTTCCCAATCCGTTGTTCGCGGCCTTCTTGGTTTGATGACGTCATAATTTACATTAGCCAAACAGAAAAATAAAGCGGCACTAGTCCTTTATCGATGAAGGCATATTTGCCGGTGCCGGCATAATAAACACTGCCAAAATAATATATGGGTAAAAGACAAAGAAAAATTGAAATTAAAAGTTGAATAATTACAAGCACCACTTCCAAAGTCATGGCTAGTAGTAGCCTAGTACTGTACCACCTACAAAGGGCCTTAGTAGCCTACAGTAGGCCTAGAGTACTAGCCACTAGGCCTGGCCTAGGCCCTATCATTTTTTGATATTTAAAAAATATATTTACAAAAAAGACTTAATAAATAATGTAAAATTGTACTTACGAACTCATTTTTCATTTCGAAATCATGTAAACAATGAAATCAATAATTCATCTACTATAGTTGATATATCGATGGATCCTGGCTGGGGCCTACACCTGAGTAAATAAAGTGGTCTAGCCTAGGCTTAAGTCTATGGGAATCATTGTTCATTCCGGGAAAATATTGACTGTAGGGCCTAGGCCTCTCTAGGCGTGAATGAGTCCTTAGTTAGGCCTAAGGCTGGCGATACAATCTATCTGAAGTAATCAGCTTGATTTTCTGTGAACACGCAATAAACAAGTTTTACAAAACGAAGGTAACAGAAAACCGAAAATTCGTTTATGTTCTGATATCACAAATAATTTAACGTGTGTAGGCCTAACTTAAGTGTAAACAAAATCTTCCTTTCCCAGTGGTGGTTGCCAGTAGCACCATCAAGCGTCTGTTACCACGCTCGGCTTCGTTACACTGGTTTAACTCTGTTTAACTCTCAGATATACGCCCTCTCGTACCCACAAAAATTCTCAAAAAAAGTGTTCATGACGCGAAGCTATCTACAATTGGCCTATGCCTATTTTATTTTTCATTTGATTTTAATTTACATCCGACAGCCACTTAAAAAATGGAATACATACAAAACAAGACGGAAAAAACACACATACTCAAATTATTAAGAATATGTCAACCCTGATCTAAACTAAATAAATAAACGAGTTAAAAATTCTAGGCTGCTACGATTTTTTTTAAAGACCACTATATAATAAACAGGGATATGTATATACTGTTTGCAAAAGCTTTAAAAGTTTAAAGTTTCTGATCAGTCTTATTACATATTTTGGAGATGTTTCCATGTAGTTTTCTTAGCAGCAAGTTCACGAAGTACTTGTTTTTGTCACCAAAGTTCCCCAGTTTTAGGTCACGTTTTTGGAGGTATTTGCGAAGTACTCCAAAGGTTGGTTTTATGACGACCGCGTCTACCTGGTTGGCAGCACCCATCAACTGCAAATGACAAAGCACGCTATGCAGGGGATGTTTCTTTCATAAATGATGTGGCCAAACATAAGTTGACCATCGGGATTTTATAACACACTCAGATAATGTGTTGACTGCAAGAATTTTATTAAGATCTTGGTTCCGGATGACATTAGGCCATTTGATATTCAAAACTTGTGGCGAAAGTGTCGTCTATGGGCAATGTCAAGATCATCTAGAATACACTGCTAGGGACAGACCAGCTGTTGCAGTTATATACCCGGTTATATAGCATGACAGAAACTACCTGAGCTTCATAGACTATAAGACGTCTCTTGAGTGAAGTGACATCTTCGACGGTTCCAAACTTTGTTGAATCGCGAAAAAGCAACGTTTCCAAGAATGATGCGTTGTTTAACATCGACGACAGAATAAACAGGGATAATAAATGTTTCTATAATAAATTTTGTTATATGATTTAAGCATAAACATATTAGCCAAGGCACATCATAATATTATGTTTTGTGTGTGTGTGTTTGTGTATATTGACTAACGGTAAATGTTAGTGGTGTGCATGTGTATTTAATGGAAAGTTGGATCAGAGTAATTTAATGTCTGGCTATCCAAAAAATGCGTAATATGAAGAATACATAACAGTATGCATTAATTACATCCATTCTAAAACATTTAATGTATTATTTCTTAACTTTCCTCTAAACAGAGATATCTAACAACACTAGCGCAGGTGTTTTGGATTATATTCGACACCAAAGTGTGGCTTTTGAAAGACCAAACTGTAAACTTTCCCTTCAGTCAAAGACTACTAATATAATGAAGACTAAAATAGGCCTATATAGGGCCTAGTGATTTTAGAGCCATTATTTTTTTTTTTGGACAGACTACAGAAATCAAAATAATTTTCAAAACCCGACGTTTATGCGCACAGTGCTTATTTTGAATACTGAGTGTCAGGACTTCGAAGCATGGAGGTATTATAGTAATAGGCCTATATAAAATATCTCTATGGTTGATGTTTGTATTCTCGTAATTGTTTTTGCGTAGAATGAGCACAACACTTGTGGCTACCAAAAATGAGCAACAGCATGCAGTAATCCATATTCTAAATACCGTACCCTTCAAATAAAGAATATATTTTAAAATATATTTTTTATGGAGTTTTTTTTATTTTTTTATTAATAAATGATGATGATGCATGATGATGATGATGACGATGAGTATAATATATCAGTTGAACCGAAGTTGAGTCCAAAATGGCTTTGAAAGACTGTTCGACTTAGATAAAATTCGACGTACAGATCGTTAATTATTATAAAACAATAATTTGACATGTAAAATAAGATCGACTTATAAATTATTCGACTTAGGCAAAAAAAAATTATAAAAATTAGGCCTACACAACATACGATGATGTTTTGTGTATACAGTTAGCAAAATGCATTTCAGTCTTCAAATATACGTAGTAAATACATTTCCGTAGTACCTAATAACTTGTTTTGAGTGAAAAATATGGATTGCTTAAATTATTGGTTCTGAACTTTTAGACCTATTTATTTATGGGTCTAGGACTATGATAAATTTAGCATTGTTGTCTATTTCCGTACGTCCGTAATTAGGCAAATGTTGCAACTACGGAAGTTCCGTAGTACTTGAGAAGTCTCTGCAGTGCTCTATATTGAACAAGCCTCTGATTGTTTTCTTAGTACAGTACTGTGTTAGTAATGTTGTAATGGAGATGTGGTAGAACGAGCGCAGGGCTTGATGTGTGACTACAGAGAACTAGTTTATTGAAAATAAATCAATAACAGCAAAGTAACTGTACATTTATTTGAGTGATTATCCATTGGCTTCATTTAAATCCTGTTGAAAAATATTAAAATTTACAAATGTTTGCATTATATTTTATAATTATTTCTAGTGTACAGTATTTTGATTCGATTCGATTTATTATAGAAGTTATTATTATTATTATTATTATTATTATTATTATTATTATTATTATTATTAACACTTGGAATAAAATAATTTAATTACTATATCATTTCTTAATTTCTGCAAATATAGTATAAATATTTAAAAGAACATTTTTGGTGCCGGTCTTTAGTTTAGAGAGATTCTAATTAGAGACCAAAGCTGCTGCTAAAGACCACTAAAACGCTAGTCCCAAAAAATGGTCTTAATTGGAGAGAAATCTGTATTTAATTTATTTTTTAAAAATATTCACCAAATCTCGCTTAATCAAAAATTACGCTTAGGGATAATGTTGTCCAGTTCTCTAAAAAATCGAGCAATTTGCGCAATGTCATTTATATTTCGTATGAAATTGTCGATTAGCTGATTAACTAATTATTTTGGAAAAATGTGAGCATTTTGAGAAAGCACTGAGTTGGTTATAAATTGAGAGAAATGATCCATCTTTCAAAGTTACCAGAGGTAATTTTATTTTTACAAACAATTTATTGAGAAAGTAGAGGCTGGCTGTGTACATGGTAAAAGTGGAGATAAATAAATAATATTTTTTGAGGGGAAACAAAGATATTTTAAAACATCTTTGTTGGGAGGACAGACAGGAAAAGCAATTATTTATGTACTACCTCAACCCTCTCATCAAAAATTCTGGATACGATCAATAACATTTTTTTATGAAATTTGAATACATATTTGGGCTTCTCATCAACTCTTTATCGGGCATCAAGGAATTTCCAAAATACAGTACCTGTACCGTATACGTACCATAAAACCGTAATCACCAACCATTCTATCCTGCTGATTAATTAAAATATCATCAGAATCGCATCCACAAATAATTATAACACAGTAAAAATCTGGATAACCTTTAGAAATACTTTATTTCATCCATAATAATAACATAATTACTCTACAAACGTTGATTAATGACAAATTTGTCACACAATACACAGCACATATATAGGGGTCCCTAGTCTCCCATAGTAATACAAGCAAGAATTCATATTTGCATGTTTTCACTACTGTAATATCAATTGTCTCCATGATGTAGCGAAATATAAATGTGTTAGAAAGATTATTGAGCAAAACGTCTCGGAAGTGGGTTCTTCTAACTTGGGGACCCCTACCAATCATCATACAGTAGGTACAGTCATTCACTATTTCCCCTGTACATTCTCTCATTTAACTCTCATTTAACTCTCATTTCTTAATTCACTAGAATAAAATGACTTACAAATGCTGTATAAATTAACACCAATAGTGTACTTTAGTAACGATTAACCACAACTGATATGACATAACAAATGCTGTGGGGGGTCCGATGTGACGGACAAGGTTTGGGGCCATGTTTCCAACAAGAATGTACGTGGTTATGGCTGTGGCATCACTGCACTCAGAATCTCTCGGAAGAAAAACACAAATCCTATGAAAAAACTATTTAATCTATTTATTTTTTTCCCAAACTAATTTTTTCTCCTCGAGGGGGTGGAACTCTCCCTATTCTCCCCACCAACATTGATGCCAACTCCTTTGAGCAAATGCACATGTGGAAATCAGTACAAGAGCTTCTGCAGCCTATAATATAATTTATTTCGTAGTGATAAACAAACCACCTTCATGTTTAATATTCATAAAATATTCACTCATTTGCATCATTATTTCATTATTATTTGTGAATTAATTGATTTTGGTTACAAACCTCTTGATAGAAAAAGTTAGAAAAATGACAAGCCAAAAAAAATTTGTCATTATTGTGTATGCAGTATAAACAGATATTCAACACTACAAAAGTATATAAGCACCATTCACTGCAGTACATAACTACTACCAATAGAGATGGTGTGTCTAAAGGTAGCATTGACATGTTCATCTTTTCTATAAAATGTCTACCCATTTCTGAATTTTATCTACAATATATACAGTAGATAGATTTGGCACTCCACCACGAAATGAGGTATGTTGTACATTGTGTTGGAAAAAACACAAAAAGTCGGCACCTAAATTTTGATGAAAATACTAGTTTAATCAATTTTAGTTTCACCAAGGTTCCATATAGCATGAGTAGGTGTATTATTGTGACATCGACTTTGTCATTTTTTCTGTTAAAATATGATATTAATGCTTTCAAATTATATACTCTAGTAACCTGGAAATGTATGCCATTTTGCCTTGTGGAGTTCTTGCTTTCTAAAGGTCATACATCTCCATTTATAGATTAAATTTAGGCATTAAAACCATTTATACTACAGAATAATATTGAAATAAGTTGTAGTAAAAGATTTTTACAACAGTTTCAGAATAGAAAAGTGAGTGACATATAACACTGATATGCATTGAATATTAGAATTTTAGTGTTAATACTGGATCCTCCCCTGGGTACGTACTAGCAATTTCCAATTTTTGTCTTTGGTGTAACAAGACTCATTTGGTGGTGGTGTTTTACAAATACATCGGTTACTCGATAATATTTTCATTTCACCAGTTGAAAAGTTAAATTCCTCTACACTACTATCATATTTTGTTTACAAACCATACAACATGGAATGCTTCATCCAAAACTTGATATTACAAAACAGTAGGGTAAGTGCCCCAGGTCTGTGCTACATAGGGTTCTTGGCCACTATAATAAAAAACCAGAGTGATGAAAAAATATTAACTATCTAAATTCCTAAAAAAAACACAACCCTTTTTTCTGACTTCCTTGAATATACTTTTCTATTTATGGTTTGGGGTACCTCCATTAAGAGTGGGGTATCTTTATCCTAGGGTATGTATATTCCTTTCAGTCTTAAACTGAGAATGTATCTTCCATGAGATGAATTTTCATTTCTTTTTCTCTTCACTAATTATCTCTTCCTCAAATCAAAGTTTTACTATCACAAAATAATATAATTTCCTAAACTAAATGATTGTTCAACAGCATGGACTTGAAGGTTTCCCAACGGAATTTCAACAAAACATCTTGCGAGAAGAAAAGAAAGCAAAAGGTAGGATTTAGTTACAATACATATAGTTACATACAAACTGTATTGCTACTTAAAAGCACAAAATAATACATATTTATTGTTTTTTAACAACTATCATAGAATATATAGAATTTAAATACTGTACTATTTTAGTGAAACTGAAACGATTTATTTATCTCTAATGCATACCTTATTTATGTTGATATTAAATCAGCATGGATTGTGTACAGCAGTGCAGTATATGTATGGCTCCTGTACCAATGTTATGGGTAGTAGACAACATGTGTATTAATCACATGGCCAAATCTACACAACATGTGTACATATATCACATGTGCAGGAATACCATATGTTTACAATATCAAAACAAACATGTCCATGTCCAACTCATGTCCATATAAAATAATACAGAATACACAAGCATTGCATCATATCTGGCTATTCGACAAGTGTACACAACAGTGCAAAACACATGTCGTGAAAATGCACATGTTTAAGAATGAGAGTGCCCATGTTCCACATACACTGTACTAAAATATTGCAATAAAAATCCTATATGTGCAACACATACTCATGTGAAGCACACAAACACATTTGATATGGTCATGCGCCAAGCACACAGGCAGTGCAGCACACACTAATGTAAAAGCACACAAAATCATGTAAAATGTATTTGATAAGCTGTGCAGCACACAAACATGTGAAGCACACGAACTCATGAGATATGGCCATGTGACCAATATACAAACAATGCACATTTAGCTTCTTTCCAAAAAATAGCTTTTAAATAGCCTTTCTCTAAATCCTTTTCCCACTACAACATTCACTGCAAAGACAAAAGAAAATATGCTGATAGTTTCATCACTATTCAAGGGGTTATTCTGAGAGACGCTTGGCAAAAAGTTGGATCATCCAGGTAGGAATTAATAAAATAGACTAAAAACCAAATAAAAATTCAAAGTCAAGAAAATACAAAAGCCACATGTTTAAGAACTTCAAATCTATGCACCTGTATATATCAAGGTATACTAATAGCCTTCCCTATATAGTGAGTTGGCAAAAATGTCCAGCACTGCATAAAACAGTGTGGTATCTGAGGAGACAAAGTGCCCTTTCTAAAATTGGAAGCACTTGGTATACTTGTGCCTAAAACCTGTCAATATATGACTCAGCTATTTTGTCCTTTAGGCCCTATGATAGATTACTTGTGAGTCACTTTCTCACAGTCACCTGGATTTTAGCGATTTCTCGAGGTACATACATTGACGAGGTTTATATTTCTTTAGTTCACTGAGGGCGTCCTTTATGTTAAACCACTTCCGTCTTCGTCCTGTTGAAGAAAATTTTAATTTCTTAAAAAATTATGATTTGAGCATGATTTGAGGATGATGTCAGATAATGATGATGACAATCATAATCCTGATCATGAAGTGTTATGAGTGCAAGAGGTACCGTACTCGCACGAATAAGCGCCCGGGCGCTTAAAATATTTTTTGCACTTTCTGAGGGGCGCTTATTCAAACGGGGTGCTTATTTAAATGGGGCGCTTATGAAAACTGATTGGAAATTGAGGGGGCGCTTATGGAAATAGATGAAAATCGAGGGGTTCTTATGGGAAATAATTAAAGTCAAGAGGCACTTTTTGAATGAAAAAATATTATATAAGAACATTATGAATGGTGGTTAGGCGGAAAAGATAATCCTCCAGAGAACATGGCTCATGACAAGAATGCGTGAATATTTACATAACAGCAAAATAGCAGATGCAATTAGTGGTGGTGGTTAGCTTGTTGGTCATCGGCCGTTTGAGATTAGCAGGATAGCAGGATCATTGTATTTTTTCTTGAAAACTCAGATGAGAATGTGCTAAAGGTCGGAAAAAGAAAAAGAGGAGTAGGACTAGGCATAAACAAATATGTAAAAAGAGTAAAGTTGGAAATATACTATCTGTCCAGGAATCAGAGCTCTCATCTGTCCAAGAGAAATATCCTCATTTTAATATTGACCTATTAAGAAGAATGTGTTTCCACTCTGCAGCTCAAATCATGCCAACAACCACAGTCCCAGGATTGATTGGATTATTGACTTGCTAAAAAGAAAATCTTATGATAATATTGAGGGGGAGCTTATTCAAATTAGAAGGGGCGCTTATTCAAACAGGGCGCTTATTCAAACAGGGCGCTTAAGGAAATTTTCACATTAGGAGGAGCGGTTATTTGAGAGGGGCGCTTATTCAAACGGGGCACGTATTCGCGCGAGTACTACTAGCACCTGCAGTAAAATTGAGTTAATAATAATAATACTGTAACTAACAACAACAACAACAACAACAACAACAACAACAATAATACTACTGTAATAATAATAATAATAATAATAATAACATATTTTAGTAATAATAATAATAGCTGAACTTTCTCATCGATAATAAACCAAGCACAATTGGATGTAAACTTACTGCAAGCTTTAACATCAACAAAAGCGCTTGGTATATTATCAAGGATAGTTTTACAATTATAATAAGCACACCAGAAGCAACTATTTGAATATTTACAAAATAGTAAAAATAATAACAATAATAGTAATACTGTAATAGTAGTAGTAATAATAATAATAATAATAATAATAATATTAATAAAATGTTTTTTTACCAGATTCTGTTTGATCTAACCACTCATCTAGCTCCTTCTCAAACATCAAACAGAACACTGAAGTCCTCTTTTTCTTTCCCCCTTCTTCATACTCAAAGTCTCCAACATGTTTCCCTACACAACCAATAACGCCAGCCTGCAAGAAAAGTAGTCAGAAAACTCATATTTCAAGGATCTCAATATCAGCATGCAGAAGAAGTTTAAACTCAATGATATGAGTAAGCGGTCCACTACTCCATACGGTATTTTACGGTTGATTCCTACACAAGAATAAAACATAATCAGTTCATAACACCATAAATCAACATGTCATCATTACATTTTGGAGAATACAGATTCATGTAAAAAATTTGAACACAGAAGACCACCAGATTTGTATTCATATTTATGTTTAAAAAAAATGAACAGATCAAATCAGAATCAAGACCGGAAATGGTGTAGGGTACAAAGAGACAAGCCTTTTGTGTAAATGCAAGGTGGTGTCAAAGAATAGAATCTTGTTTAAATTAAAAGTGCAATGAAGAGAAATCAAATCAGATCCAAAATACAAAATTCAAATGTGCATAAGTACTGTACTATTAATAAGTCTGATAATATTTGAAATGCTAAGTGTTTTTCCTTTCAGTTCAGCAAATTTACTGGACTTTATTTGGTTATTAATCCTGATGAAATTTTTTATGCAGGGGAAAATGTAGGCCGTAATGACACCGAAATTCAAACATAGCATGCGTAGGTCCAGCTAGACTAGCTAAACACTGTTTAAAACATTATCGATCTAAAGTAGGAAATAACAAACAATAGAATTGTAACATTTTTCATTGTATTAAATTGCAACATTTCTCACATGTTAAAAGCTGGTAAACTATATTTCAATATTGTTTACGCATTGTTTATCAGGCCGACGATCCAGCCTACATCACTGCAAAGGTAATTAAGATAACAATGATCTTTGTAGTAGTTTGTGGCTACATTCAAAACGTACCTATGCGTAGGTTACGACTGGTTACGCGTAGATAGGAAGCGATAATTATGCTTAATGCTTTTTTAAAATTCTCTGCAGAGAATTTAAATAGGGAAATACTTGTATGTTTGGATAGTGAGACTTGCTGCTGTTTGGTGGAAAACCAAACAATAATTGAGAATATGTGTGAATTGAATTCTACTAAATATAACTTTATGATCATGTCATAATTTATCTTAGAACATCTCATTTTTTTAAATATATTGCATCACTTTTTTTTTTTTAACAGAAACCAGTTTACTTCATACTGGTTTGAATGAAGGTACTGTAGAATAAATAAACAAAAAAATGTAGAAGACCATAGAAATGCTGGGAGCGAAAAAATTGCAGAATAGTAGTTGCCGTGTTATTGTTATTGGAAGAACAGCTGTGAAGTACTTTGTAGAAGCTACCCTACCATACCTGTACATCACTTTCCATTATGCTGTGGAATAACAGAATACTCCATTGCAAAAACATAAAATACATTACGAAAATTGTGAAATATAATAATAACTAAAAACTTAGTGACAATAATATGATGAAAAAACATAGAATTATCAATTATATTGGATACCTCTTGGGACTGCCAATGGGAATCAAATCCCGGCTGTCAATAGTTAATTGCGGATCTGTTATTAAAAAGATAGTATTTCATACTATTATATGCAACCTACTGTACTGCAGCACGGCTATATGAATTCAGAATACCATATTATTATTATTATTATTATTATTATTATTATTATTATTATAGTAAAATATATAGTCAGATACAAGCCATTTTGATACTGTATTTCAAACTGTTCATATTCAGGAATAAGGAATGATTTACTAAGTAAATATCGTACAGTAGATGATAATAAATATTTGAGAAAAAACGCATGTCCCCATTAATATTCGAACCCAGGACATGTTTTTTTCTCAAGGTACCGGAATTGCATAATACTCAATGAATAATAATTATTATTCATTGTGTATTAAATGTACATTTGTTTCTCAAAGTATTGTGTAATACGCAATGAATAATAATTATTATTCAATGTATATTACGAAATACCTTGAGAAAAAAAAACGTATCCTAATAGGAAAATCCAAGGGTATAACACTTGACCTCATAGCTCAATTGGTAGCGTATCCAAACGGTAAGGGTCTTCAGTTCGAAAGGTACCCCAGTTTGAATCCCGATGGGGAAATTTTTCTCAAATATTTATTATCATCCTTAATTAACACCAGTGGAAGTGTACCCCATATGACAGTTACTTTCACATATGAAGTAATAATGACAGTGATGATGAGCTGTTAATAAAGATTTTGCATACTTCATATCATTTATTATCTCAACATACAAATATTATATTATAATATTATAATATAAGACACAATATAAGACTACTAATACTACATAATAAGGTCTAGTACTAAAGGCACTTTCAGACAGAGCTTCAATACTGCAATATTGTGGTGAGCACGCCGACATGGATTTCTGTCTAAAATGGATGATACGGCAATATGCCAGCTTACTTTAGACCACCTCGGCACCTAGTAATATCGCCGCAATATTGTGGTAACGGTTACTTGCTTTGTCAAAAATAAAGCTTCTATTTCAATGTCCTTCGCCTTAGACAGTTTTGAAATGATCTTTCAAACTGCTCTAGCCAAAAAAACATTACGTTTGTGTAATGCACGTACAGCGCACACATAAACAGAACCAAACACTAACACAACAACAGCTCTAAAGTTTTATCAGGTGACAAAAATGTAAGCAAAAAATTTCGCCCTCTGTGTTTTAAACTGCCAATATTATGACATTCTATAGGACCCCTTCAGACAGAAAAGCGTTAGATTATCGCATTATTGCGGCAACAAAGGCGCTGTGTGAAGGGTTATAGACCGGTTACTATGCCGGCATGCTTACCGCAATATTGCGGTAACGTCTATCTGAAAGGGGCTTGAGATTGATATGCCCAAGTCGCTTGATGTTGTATCTCATTCTCTTTACAGATACTTTATGTATTCACAGTAACTTTTCTCCACAATTCACTATAAATCAAACTTAATGTCAATTTACCTCTTCCTTCAGTTCTCGAATAGCAGCATCCCCTGGAGTTTCTTCAGGTTCCTGACCTCCACCCGGTACAACCCAGTTTCCTGGGGAACCTGATGATGATACTAGAAGAACCTGATTGCAAATAAAGAGATTGGGAAAATCAAAAGTCAATTACTTTTAAATAATTACTAGGCAATTAATTATTAATTAGGACACTTTATAAAATAAAATCTGTCGGAGCAATTATTTCCTGACAAAAAAAATTCCTAAAGCTTAGGACTGACTGTACAGTAAAGAGAAGTTTCTACAGTTATTTCTATGTTATGTGCCATAAATGTTTAGTGTTTGTTGTATGGGATTAGAGGCAGTCATGTATTTACACACCTTATAAATTTATTGGCAGTCTTTAATAGTCAAAAGGATCACTAATATTATTTCCGATCTTCTCTTGGTGCCTCTCTTGGTGTATTGTAAGGTGCATTTTATCTATTTAAATAGTTAAACTAAACTTGCTTCCTATTAACGTTTTCAACTTTTCTAGCCCTGATTAGCATTTCTGAGAATTTAACTGGTCATCCTTTGTTTCTTTTAAGTTTGAGCCTCTGTAGGTACTGTAGGTGTGCGAGAATATGCTAAAGCAGAGGCAGATGGTGACTTCTTTTTTTCCAGTTTCTTCACATTGTTTCAGTTTGTTATTAAATTTTTTTTTTTTCAATATTTATTTACAATACTGTAAATTTCTAGATTAAGTCTGTGAGAGCTTTCCTTAATCATAAAATGTTTTTGCCATTCTAATTTCTATCCATTAAATGTAGCCCCTGCCCGAGGGACATGAGCATCACGTTATCATAGCCTGTACGACAAAATTGTGAATACTTTTTGTGTCTAAAACACAGTGCCATGTAAAGATATAAGTAAATCGCAGCCTTTGTGTTTGAAATGCATATACAAACTTTGAGGTGTGAAAGACAGCAAATTAACCAGCAGTTTTTCAATATAACAACCAACAATAATCTTCCAATTCATTCACTCCATTAGAAATAAATTACAGACAGGATATCATTACAGTAAATTAGAGTTTCAGATCTCTAAGGAATTGACTAGCTATGCATTTTAACTTGACCTAACTAATCCTGTACTAATCATTAAAAAAAATTAATTGGTATGATTATTATTTATAAAATTTATGAATAAATTGATTAAAGATAGCAAAATGTCATTAAAAAATACAAGTAGTGACTCTTACTGTAAATAAGTGGCTTTGAATTCCTACTGATGATGATGACTCAAAGTGAAAGTGCTACAGTAGGCTTACTGCATATACCTGTATTTTTACAGCAAGTCAAAATGGCCTTGTGAAAAACACAATTTTTGAGATTCAATTTTTTCCGTTTGAAAATAAAGTTGTTATTTTATATAGTACTAATAGGCCTATAATGTGTATGTTGTACAGTACTAATAATGATGAAGATGAAAGTAATGGCTCTGTCACATAGTAGCGAATAGAGATAACTTCTGCCATGCGTACTGATTTCTTGTTGAAGCCCATACACACTCAAATATGCTAAAATTTGGGGCAAAAAAACGAACATCCTGGTGTAAAAGACGAACACCCAATGAATGAGAAACGAATGCTGATCATACAAATAGCATTCATATTAACGAATGAGTGTTCGTAGCGTTCGCCCAATGAATGTTGAATGTACACACCAAATGTCCAACGAATGTCAAATAGTGCCAAACCAGTTCAAAATTGCTTCATTATGCCTCCCAAGAAATATAATGATGTCAACTAAGTGGGCAGTCACAATGGCAAAAGATGGGTTAGGCCCTAAGCCCTAGACATATATATTTGGATGAACAACTGCTCATTATACGTAACCACCTGGTCGGGGAAATGTGGGGAAAGGTATGATGTATATTCATAGGCCTTAGGCCTAGCTTTTACAATCCTTTCATGTATACGTTTGAAAAAAAAAATGCGGTATTATGTATACTGTTAGTTGTAAGTAAGGCCCTTTTCCTACTCATTCATGTTTAGGCTTAGTAAATAACCTGGCCTAGGCCTACACCAGTGACCAGTCCTAGCCTGCTAGTGAGATCATCAACTCATCTGGTTTAAAGGAACTAAATACATGTGTGTTCACTTTGAATAAGTCATTAATATGTTGTCCTTTCCTAGCCTAAATTGCGTATGAGATACAGTAGGCCTAGGCCGGCTACCTAGATGATCTAGCCCATATGGTAAGCCTAGCCTAGTTAGGGCCTAGGCTAGGCCATCGACTTACCTCCTCACGAGACGGTGAGCGAAAGCAAAGGCATGCAGAGCGTTTTCGAAAACCGTCGTCATAGTACGTCCTTTCTGAGTTTGTTTTTGTTTTCATATTCCTTTCTTTCTTCCTACTTTCTCTCGCCATCAATTCCAAGACATCCTACCTCTGCTATCAACAAGATTTTATTGTCAAGTAGGCCTAGCCTAGCCTGTCTTGCCAAATCCTGAATACTGATCCTTCACACGAGCGAGTCTGTTGTTAATCAACCATCAAACCATGCAAACAACCATTTTGCTGGATCCATCGTGCATGGATGCAAATATTACCATTACTGTTTGGCGCCCTCTATTTTAGCGGATTCATGATACACAACACCAATGTTCGAGTTGGTTGCATGTACCGTCAAAGCTCGAATTGAAGCCCGTTGGGCTTATCTTGAGAAGAAGTCATCTCTTCAGTATGCAAAATTAGTCTCAAACAGCCCATGGACTTTCCAAGATAGAGTAGACTTCTTTTCAAGATAATACAGTACATGAATTTTGAAGAAACAAAATAAATTGGTTTATACAGTTGCCGGTTTCACTCTATGATAATTTGATGTTACAGTGGCCCTATTTATTGTTTTATATTACTAATTCCCCAAATTTACAGCATTCATTTTGAAAAGAAGCCCCCCCCCCCTCTTTACTTTGTAAAGTGGTCTCGAAAAGAAGCCCACATCCAAACTTAAATAAAAGAAGCCCATGGGCTTCGTGGTTTTACGGCATTAGATCGAGCTTTCAATTCAGAAATTTAATTTTCTTAAAAGCAGTCCACGGTAGGTATATTATAGCGACAAATACCCGTGTACGGGCAAATCACAGATAGGGGCTTATTTTTCAAACAAAACTTGATAGTTTGAAATGAATTTCAATGTTGCATTTTTTTAATAGCGCGTTTGATTATGCATTTAGTTCCCAATGATTGAACCACCCGGATGGACAATGTTCTTGTGGATCTGATGTTAAAGAAACATATGTAATGATGATTGTTGCTGTGAATTTTGTGACGAACACTTAGGCCCTATTTATGTTCTTATCTGCAGAGTACCAAATAATATTGAATTACTATTGAGTAATGAAAGTTACTAAATAAGATAAAGACAAATAATTTTTTAAATGTGTTTATATCATACTTTGGAAGTATAACCAATGCAAAGACAGGTGCTAAAATAATTTCTTGTGATACATGGAACTGTTAATGTCATTTTCTATATATTATTATTAAATTGTGGTGATGTTGATGCAATTAAAATGTAGCCTATTAGTAAGGCAGATATTATTTTTACTATTATTATTGTATTTACTAGTTTACATCCTACATATACGATATTACAGCAGCACTTTTGAGAGTAACAATAGTAGGCCTACGGTTTGTACTCTGCTTTCGTCCACACAGTGGACCTCATCTGGAGACTGTACAAATGGGATAAGAATCATCTACAACAGAAATTGTTTTTTTTTTTTACTAGGGGGGGGGGGGTGGCTATTGACTTTGACATAGGCTTACACTGTATTCTCTTTCCCACAGATTCTTTTCATTGATCCTTTGTTCTTTCAATGTTGTTTTTAGGATTGTTCTATTTCGGCAGACTTTAGTAGGCTTTGTCCATCACATTTGCATACTTTGTTGTTGTAGGACCTCCCCCATTATTTCTGTTGTAGGCCTTACGGTATTTATATTAACTATCTTTTTATTATACTAATATATATATATATATATATATATATATATATATATATTATTTTATTATATTATTATTTTCTTATCACATTTGTACAGTCTCCTGATGGAGTCCACTGTGTGGACAAAAGCTAGAGAATAAACCATATATTGTTGTCTCAAATGTGCTGCTGTCATTTCTTTTATAGGGGGCATACAGTACAGACTAACGCGGCTACACTTTTATTCATCACTGTGATGACTATAGTTAGTAGGACACCGTGGGGAAAAATGTGTCCCATTAATGAGGTTCTTAATTGTATAATAAAATATAATGTATAAACAAACTTGAAGTTATGCACAGTAAGTAGGGCCTATACACACATAAGTGTGTAGGGATCTGCACATGATGATGATGCTGATGTTAGGGAAATAAAAAGGCGCTAAAATAATATGCCTTCTACGACTATAGTGCAGAAAAGAAAATTTGTAAAGTGTCCCACGATAAATTATAAAGATAAAGGCACATAATTACTGTAGGCCTATACTTATCGAAGCTATAAAAACTAAACTCGCATTCACACTAAGTAGGCCTAATCCATATTACTTTATAGAACAGTACCAGGATAGTATAGTTATCGTACTTGGTAATTGTAAGTTTTCTTTTAAAAAACCATATGAGAGGTAACAATAACAAAGTTATATATTCTGTAAACAAATAATGAACAGGACACCATGGTTCCATTTATCGTACTAGTGGTCATACTGTCAAAAACACCATGGTTAATAGGGAAATAGAAGAAGTGAATTGAATATATATATTACATGTATTTTATAGTAATATTTTACATACTATGATACTCTTCAAATCATAAATCATATATTTGGATACATAAAAGGCCATTAGACTAGGCCATTTTCAAAATATAGGACTTCCGAAAGCAAATCGTGTTAATTTATTGCACATTGATTATATGGGGTTTGGCTGAACACAAATCCGCTGTTTGCCAAGCTAAAAAAATGACCATTTATGGATAGATAATGTTTTCTCATCATGATTCTTGAAAATGATAAATAGATCGAGGAAACGTTCAATCTTCAGGAGGTCTGTTTCTTTTTGAGGTTACTTTGTTTTTGTTTTATAATAATTTATATTATATGTATGAACCAGATAAATGAATATCAATCGAACCCGCATGTGGATTCGTCTTATACTCGGTTATGAGAGAGGATTCGAGAAAATTACCAATAATTAAATTCGATTAAGGGGTCCTTCACAATTATCAACATTTTCACAAGCGTACAAAACGTACGTTGGAGGGGGGGGGGAGGGGTTAAACCCTGGTGTACGCTTTTTAAAAAGTAATAAAATGTCGGTCAAAAATCGTCACAACCACGAAAAAACTGCTAAAATACACACAGACTAAGGGATATGCGAATATTTTCATGGGGAGGGGGACGTGCACGACTCTCACAAATCCTTGATATGCCAACACCTAGCATACCCTGCAATTTACCCTACTGTCCGCCACTGGGTTTGATGGATGCTGAACCCAAATCCGCTGTATGCTAAGCTTAAAAAAATGACCATTATATGGATAGATGAGGTTTTCTCATCATGATTCTTAAAAATGATAGGTAGATCGAAGAAACGTTCAATCTTCAAAGGGTATATTTCTTTTTGAAGTTACTGTGTTTTTGTTTTATAATAATTTTCCAATTCCTGCATCTTTTATCATTTTATTTTATATGTATGAACCAGATAAATTAAAATCATTTGAACCAACATGTGGATTCGTCTAATACTCGTTTCTGAGAGGATTCGAGACTTACCAATAACTGATCTTACACAAGTTGAACAGCACTAGTTCGTGATGCACTAAAAAGAACAGAAATGGTATACGCCCTCAGCCGTTGAACAAGGCGAGATACAAGAGATAAATATTGAAGAGAAATTTATTGTCATAAATCAAACGTATGAGATAAGAATTTCTTTTGTCTGCTCGTAATGATGAGTATAGTAACATAACTATAGAATAAGTAAGAAAGAAAGTTAACTTACAAAAAGACGGGAACTTTAAAAAGATTTTATAATCATTCATGGTACCATGATTGACTGTTGATACCATACAATTGATTATAAAATTGAATTATTCCAAGATTCAAACGTTTTCATAATTAAAATATTTTAACACTATTTGCAGTGTGATATCTCACTTTATTATTCCTATCATAATAATAGTCAGTGACGCATGCGTATGCCTACTTATTGTAGTTTATGCTGTCACCATAGAGGAAATATATTAAGTATATATTAATTAATATAATTAATATTTCCTACACGATGATTTGCAGATTCAGATTACTGTATGAATCTAGGAATATGATATTTATGTAATTCTATTTTTTATGTTGATGAAATATATAAGTATAATGGTAAAATATATATACAAGTGGAGTTCAATAGCTTGGTGGTTAAGATGCTTGCCTTCCAATCCCAGGGTCCTGGGTTCAATTCCGCCAGTTGCAGGATTTTTTCTCACGACATAAACAACTCCACTCCTTAAATCTCATATTGAGATTTAGTTTGTGTAAAGCATCGTGTATGTTTGTCTTGTGTAAGGGATTGTCACCTACAAGTAGGACAGTGATATATATTCGCTATTGGCAATCCTTGGCACATGTGTTGTGTGCCTAAAGAAAGAATAATAATAATAATAATGATAATAATAATAATAATAATAATAATAATAATAATAATAATAATAATAATAATAATAATAATAATAATAATAATAATAATAATAATAATAATAATAATAAAAGAAAAGTGGTAACAAAACCAACTATTTGGTTTAGGTTACAAATTATGAAACGCTGGTATTGATTTATACTGTTAATGGCTCCCCCCCCCCCCCCCTTACAATAGATCTCAAGTGAGCGTTGAATTTGGATTTTTTGTTAGCTTTTGGATCTGTTTTTATTATTCATATGAAAAATAATGTATGGGTTCGTTTTAAATAAACATTTAATTATGTTATTAAATTTCACTAGTATAACTAGTTTGTATTTGTTTTTATCGCAATAATGTGACGTGCATATGCCATTTTACAGTCACAGCTATTGTAGATTATATATTGTATTTGAATATGACTTTGTTTTATAGGTATTTTTTATGTATTTTTTTATAATACTATGGAACATTTATTGAACGCGGACGTGATCAATCCACATTTATGGTCAACAAGTATGCTTGTAAAAGAACGCTGTTGCCATCTGTGATATTCCCATAACGAAATAATATAATGACTTTTTGTCATTAACTTAGAAGTAAAAGTTATCAACATCGATTTCAATAAATATTCAAAGACATTTTATATTATAAGTTTAATGTGTTTTTCGTATACAAAACTGTTGCATTGCAGGTCGATCGAATTTACCGTGGATGCTCTGTTGTTATACAATATGACAGCAGCACTTTTGAGATTAACAATGGTACGATTTATTCTCTAGCTTTCGTCCACACAGTGGACTTCATCAGGAGACTGTACAAATGGGATAAGAAACATCTACAACAGAAATTGTTTTTGACTATTGACTTTGACATAGCCGTAAACTGTATGTTCTTTCTCACAGTTTCTTATCATTGATCTTTTGTCTTTCTATATTGTTTTTAGGATTGTTTATTTCGGCAGACAAGTAGGCTTTCTCCATCACATATCACTATTAGCACGGCCTAATTCATATCACTTTATAGAACATTACCAGATAGTATAATTATCGTACTGGGTAATTGTACGTTTTCTTTTAAAAAATCATATAGGCTAGGTAACAATAACGAAGTGATATATTCTGTAAACAAATAATGAACAAGACACAATGGTTCCATGTATTGTAGTAGTGGTCAAAATACTGACAAAACACCATGGTTAATAGGGAAATAGAAAAAAAATTAATTGAATATATATTACATGTATTCTATAGTAATATTTTACATAATTTCCGTACTATGATACTCTTCAAATCATAAATTATATATTTTGATACATAAACGGCCATTAGAGTAGGTCATTTTCAATATTTATGTGGTTTGGTGACGGATGCCCTGAACACAAATCTGCTGTATACCAAATGATCATATATGGATAGATGAGGTTTTGTCATCATGATTCTTAAAAATGATAGATTCGAGAAACGTTCAATCTTCAGAAGGTCTGTTTCTCTTTGAAGTTACTGTGTTCTTGTTTATATATTGTATTTGAATATGACTTTGTTTTATAGGTATTTTTTATGTATTTTTTATAATACTATGAAACATTTATTGAGCGCGGACGTGATCAATCCACATTTAGGTCAACAAGTATGCTTGTAAAAGAACGCTGTTGCTATCTGTGATATTCCCATAACGAAATAATATTCAGAAGGTCTGTTTCTTTTTGAAGTTACTGTGTTTTTGTTTTATAATAATTTTCCAATTCCTACATCTGTAGAAGTTTATTTTATATAAAACCAGATAAATTTAAATAAATCGAACCAACATGTGGATTCGTCTAATATTCGTTTCTGAGAGGATTCGATACTTACCAATAATTCAATTCGATAAGGGGTCCTTCACAATTATCAACATTTTCACAAGCGTACAAAACGTACGTTGGAGGGGGAGGGGGAGGTAAACCCTGGCGTTCGCTTTTTAAAAAGTAATCAAATGTCCGTCAAAAATCGTTACAACCACGAAAATACACACATATAGACTAAGGGATGGGCGAGTATTTTTTTCAGGGGATGGGGGCGTGCGCGCCCATCGCAAATCCATGATATGCCAACACCTAGCATACACTGCAATTTACCCTACGGTCCGCCACTGGGTTTGACGGATGCTGAACCCAAATCCACTGTATGTCAAAGTAAAAAAAATGACCATATATGGATAGATGGTATGTTTCTTTTTTAAGTTACTGTGTTTTTGTTTTATAATAATTTTCCAATTCCTGTATCTTTTAAGACTCTATTTTATATGTATGAACCAGATAAATTAAAATCAGTCGAACCAACATGTGGATTCGTCTAATACTCGTTTCTGAGAGGATTCGATACTTACCAATAATTCAATTCGATAAAATATATATTGTTTTTTTATTTATTTTTTTCTAGATAATTTATCGTCCTTTCAGCTTACAACTATTGTTTGTCCGGTGCCCAGATCCATACGATGATTAGATGCTCTAAAGTTAGATTGGAAACATTATTAATATTATGTTTTTCATCAGCTCGTTCGGAATTCATGAAAAGGGTGACAGAAACGCTTATAATTAACATTTAGCCTACCCAGTCCTGGTTCAGCCAGACGTCACAGGCTGATCGGTCATCGGCTTACTTTTGCAGATGACCGAATGCAGATTTAACATATTTTAAAATGGTATGATCAAATATCGTAGATAGATAGAAAACAAGTATGCAAAACGTTGCAAACTACGTACAGATGATTAGAACTATAAATGAATTTTGTAATAATGTTTTCTATCATGTGTTTTAAAAAGTATTGAACGGACGTGATCAATCCACCTTTAGAGTCTACAAGTATGCTTTATGTAAAAGAACGCTGTTGTCATAATATTCCCATAACGAAATAATATAATGACTTTTTTGTCATTAACTTAGAAGTAATTGTTATCTACATCGATTTTAATACAAATACGTTTTATATTATGAAAAGTTTAATGTGTTTTTCGCATACAAAACTGTTGCATTGTATGTCAAATTGCCAGTCGTATTGAATTTACCGTTGATGCTCGGTTGTTATAAATAAAATAAAAATGATGATCGGCAAATCCATGTTCATCACAGCTATCGCCGCTTCAAGTTTGCGTTTAATTACAGGTAGGCATATACAATTTCAATTTACAACAATTTAAGTTACGGTAAACGAAATACAAGTATTTAGTTACTAGTGCAGATTTGATTACGTTGTTACATAATATAATCTCATTCGTTTGCTATTCAAAAATTAAAATGTAACAGTATTTTTACATTCTGCAAAAAGGAAAAATTAAAGAAAAAAAAATTGAACTTTATACTATATACATGATAAACTTTGGTAATAAACTCGACTACGTGATCAGGGTGCTCTAACGATAAATTATGCTTTTTAATTTTGATGGAAATGATTTCGACACTCAGAGACTGAAATTGAATTTGAAGACTGTTATCAATTTTTACATAAATACGGGGGATAGCCGGGTTGGGGAGGTTTAGAAACTAGCCGGCTTACCGGTTTTGTTTTACTTGTATTTTTTCTGTATATCTTTCCTTTATACCTTAATTCCTACACTGATTCGTATTTTATCCTTGTTAAAAAATATCAGTAAATAGATAATTTAATAAAATAAAATCTGGAGAGGTTCAAATGTTATTTCATTATAGGAAACAATGTTTATATAATAATAGTCTGATTTTTTAGTCCACAAATCTTTTCATCATTGTTAATTGTGAGCCCGTTCACGCCTTTCAAATAATAATTGTATCTTCATTATTATTTTGTTTTAATTAATCCAGATAGCGCAATAATAGTCTATTATTTGCTCAAAATCACGTTTGATCATTTTGTTGTTGTAAAGTCAGAAATTGCTCATTATTTGTCTCATTTTTAATATTGTCATGTATTCAGCAGTTACCGTCTCACAATAAGCGTAGTAAAGATACAGTAAGTTGTGCTATATGATTTTATACAACATGACTACGAAGACTATGATGCAAGTACTTGGTATCAGGGGATGCGCCAGTGGGGGCTGCCGTCCAAGAAAAAAAAAATTAAATGTAATTTTTACATAATACTAATATTGTACTAATATTATTAGTATACTCTAAAGTCGATTAAATAAGCATTAGAAATCCCCAAATTTTCATAATTATTTTCCGGGGTATTTTCTACCAATTCCTGACGTCACACTTGCTCGGTATATTCTATTCACGCGCCATGCAATTATCATCTTGTGTTTAAACTAAAGGTCCACTAATTAATTTTAGATAAGAAGATCCAATCATGATGGCGTGCATTTCAATACTTAGAGTAGGCCTATGTATTATACTTTTATATTTTTTTTCTTGTTATCAGGAAGCGGTGAACCGTTTTCATGTTGGGATTATCAAACAGGGTATTATGCTGACCCTCTCGACTGTACACGTTTTTACCAATGTGAAACAGGGATGTTTCATAAATCTTGTGATGCCAAATATTTTAATGAACAGATCAACAACTGTGATTGGCCGGATAGGGTGGAGTGCTCACCAACACCAGGCGCAACATTCATTTGCAATGACTCACCTGTGGGTCTTCATTATTACACAGATCCAGCAAATTGTTCCATGTATTATTCTTGCAATTTGGTTGAGAACCGAGAAACATGTGTTTCTGGACTAGCGTTCAATGGCATAAAAGGATATTGTGATTTCATGGTTAACGTTCCAAATTGTACTAACAGTGATGAACCAACCGACGAAATAAATGAAAATGTACAGACAATACAAATTCCTAAAACGGAATACCCTGAAGGTAAATAATAATATTATGTATAAAGCCACTTAAAATAACTGACACAGTATTCGTTTTCTGTATAGTTATTGTGCATACTTTAAATTCCATGCTTGTGAGACGGAACGTCTATCCTGTCCTCAGTTTAGTAACTAAATAATTTAGCCAAGTATTCATTTTAGAGCAGAGGAAGACCAAATTAATGTAATTTTTATTTGAAATATGTTTTGCGTTACAATATTATTGTAATCATAACTATTGTTTGTTTACGTGAAAGGTATCATTACTACCGTCTAACTTTGTAAATAAGAAGATAACATTAATCGACTGATGTAGATTCATCTATCCAGGTTGTTAATAATAAATATCAATTAAAACTTTATATCTCTGGATAAAGCAGAAAACAAAAGAACAATCACAATCCCTATGACGCAATTTCCATCGTGTGTCATTGTGAACAAGACTACAATGATAGTCGAAAGCTTATAACGTAAGTTCTTTTGTTTTCTGCTTTATCCAGAGATATAAAGTTTTAATTGATATTTATTAAGATTACATTAGTTTTGATATTCTGTGCCATTTTTATCATCATCATCATCATCACATTAATTATTATTATTATTATTATTATTATTATTATTATTATTATTATTATTATTATTACTATGCCTATTATTATTAATAATATTATTATTATTATTAATTTATTATTATTATTGTTATTTTTTTTTTATTGTCAGTGTTATCAAATCCATTACTGAAGTCTATCAACTGTGATTTCCAAAGATGGTCTATCCATTCAATTACTTAAACGTTGGTGATCTTACGAGAACCATTATTTCAATGCCGTATGGTCAGGGAAACAAATAATAATCTTTGACTATTAATAGTTTTAATACTTCAAGTTGAGGTTGCGAAATAGGGTGGAGTTTTTTTAAAATAAAATTGTTTCAAAATACTTTGGACGTCTGTTATCAATATGGATCTAATGAGGCGTAATATGTGGAAGGCTCCGAGTTGACTCTCGGTAAACACTGCGTTTTAACTGACCCTATAAAATACAAGAATAATTGCTCCTCCTATTGTATAATAATATTGTGTTATTTTCTACCGTGTCTGTTCGTTAGGAAAATCACCTAGAAGACTCAGAACTGCGACTCTAGCAAATCATGGAAATTGGCCAAAACCTGTCTGTAACGGTAGAGAAACTGTTCTTGTTACCAGAGCAAAAAGTGCAGTCCAATGTTCTTTGTTGTGTTTACGACATTACCCAGAATGTCAATCAATTCGTTACGAAAATTCGTCAACATCGTGCGAATTATTGACGAGTATGGAGCCATCCGAAAATGTCTACTGCGACATGGACACCGACAGAGGAGGATGGAAGGTAGATATCATGTTCAAATTATTTGTCACGATAAACACTACGATAGAATTATAATTTTCCAGAATTGTAACGACTAAGTTGTAAAAAAGTTTTCTGTTCACATAAATGTATCCTACTTTTTAACAACAGGTTTTTCAGAAACGTCATGATAATTCTGTCGATTTTAATAGAACTTGGGTAAATTTTAAGAATGGCTTTGGCAAAGTATGTGGTGAAGCCTGGCTGGGAAATTGTAAAATATTTATCCAATATTTATTCGGGTTTGAAGAAAAATAATATAATCGCATTTTACTTAAAAATGACAAAAGCAAAAATCCGGGTGGCAAACGCCGGGTAGTAACCTTTCATATCGATCTCTTTCTTAGTTCTGAAAGTTAATAGTGTAGCTCGTATAAGAATGTGAATATCATAGAGAGGACAGGACAGCTTTATTAAAATTTACACTCAAACAAAATAATTTAATTTAATCACAGGAAATGTGCTCTCAATGGGTCTTGCAGTGAATATCTCAACATACGATGAAGACAATGATGCTGCAATCTCAGATTCGTGTGTCACTGTCACCACGTTCTCTACTAGTGGATGGTGGCTTCCATATTTTTCTGCATGCATTTTGAATGCCGATTATCATAGAACCTTCTCGTGTGAAATTAATGGACAATATGTACATTTGACTCGGTCAGAAATAAAGATGAAGCGTCTGAGGAGAAGAGTTTAATAATCTGGCTGTTATGTTTATTAGCTAGGGAAGCCACCAATTGCACTCCGTTCAAGTGAGTCGCTGCTAAAAGCGAAACGACTTTAGAGTAGGCCTATTGTATTTTTATTTAGAAGTTGCTTTTCTGTATAAAATATTTTGTCTAATATTTTACTGTTAATTAAATCATCACCGACACCACGAAGAGACTCAAACTTAAACTTCTTTTGTTTGACTATTATGTAAATCGAACTCTACATTTTTGACATACAGGTAATTGGTAAGAGTGCAACTTATATCATTTAGTAAATTATACTAATTAGCCATAGCGCACAGACCGAGAAAATTGATTTTATTTGTTCTTCTTCACGAACAATCTTTCAGAGGGTTATCAGAAGACGCGTGTGCGGCGTTGCAATCGTTGTGATCAGATAGATATTGCCTGGCTGGGGTAGGACTAGACGTAAATATTCCGAGGCATGCTTGTACAATTGTAAACATAGGCTAAAATACAGTTTGTGTCTGGACAACGGAGCGCGTACATGCGCAAAAATGAGATTTTCATTTTCACGACGAAACTCAAACCTCGCTGATATGTGTAAACAAGCTATGCTGGGTTTATTTTTATCATTTTTATGAACACTGTTCACGCTAATTATTTAATAAAAGTTAAGAAAAGAAAAATAAATTGAGCATTTGAATTGATTAATGCTTTATCTTTACACATATGTAAACAAAATATTTAAAATTCAATATCTTAGTTGCGAAATATACGATTTTGTGAAGCATGACCATTTTTTTCTCTCAAAACGTTGTTTTGCTCGAAATTGGAGTTTGTGTCTTAAGTGTAAAATCAAAACCATAAAAATAAGATTTCTTTATATTTTTAGTGATGATATATACATACAATATTGATACATAATTTCCTTTCCTGATTAAAATATTAAAATAAACCACTAAGGCTATTTTAGACAACACTTAGATTATATTAAATTTATATATTCAATCGCAATTGTTACCAATGAATAAATTAAAAATATTTAAAAAAAATGTCAAAGATTTTTTACTTCTCCGTGTTTACGTAGTTGAGGTATAAGTATTGTCATATGATTGTGTCTTCCTAGTCATTCACGAAAACGTCAGTTGTCGAATTGTTTTTCGGAACACTTTTTGGCTTGTTCATCCATCGCTTTCTGAATATGATTAATATTTTGGCAATGATAACCAAAGGCACCACTTTTGCAGTACCGTAATAATTGTAGCAGTTGATGTTTTGTTTAATCGTTCGATGACGTGTTATCCGAAAATATGTTGCTATTTTTGTTGTTAGGAGAAATGGAATTATAAAAACCAGATATCTGATTTTCATGGCCGCTATCTGTAATTTCAAAATGGCTGCATCCTAGTTTTTTAAAACCATGTTTATTGGATTTAGAAAGCCCAATAACATTATGATTAGATACCAATTGTGCCGATATGTGTTATTATACTTGAAAACCTTTCATGTTTAATATAATGAAGCGAACTTTGTTTCGGCATTTTCTTTGTAGATAATTCTGTATCATTCATATGTAATGAATGTCTTATACTCTTGGAGGTAGGCATGCGGTTAGTTTGTAATCTGACAGAATTGAATAACGTGATAAAACAACAGAGTGCAGGAAAGCGCATAAACACGACTACTTTATTTCATGAGGCACCTGATACAAAATGCTGAATCCACCTCTATAATGTCTCACATTCCTAGTCTATTCAGTTTATTTAGTTTTTCTAAGCATCCAGTACATGAAGCATGTTGTAGCTAAATGGCTAAGTTGTAGCAAAAATTAAAATGTAGTTATTGGTATTTTCAGATTCATGAGCAGGCCATATGTAATTTTTAAAATGAGGGTTCATTCATTGAAATTTAAAATTTCAAACCTATTGGGGAGTAAAGGTGTCCTACAGCACTCCTGGATTCATGATAAACATGGTTTTGAGTAATTTCCTGATATTTAATGCAACGACAAAACGCATATTTTCTACAATAAGACCTTGGGCCATGGATAATTAGATAATAAACTGTTGGTTTATAGGCCTAGAAAATAAATTATACTTTTATTGAAATTTTATAATAATTTTATTATTATAGACTATTATTTAGATCCCATAGAAATTGTAAATGGTACGTCAATCAAAACCATAAAATTAGGACTTATTTATATTTTTATTGATGCTATATATATTTGCAATGCCTATACATAAATTGCTTTTTTGGTTGCAATATTAAAATACAGTACTAAAAAGGTAAATTTAACAATCAATCCAAAAGTTCGGGAAATTATCCAGCAAATACAAGACCTTATCATAACATTTACATGAGTTTTGAACGTTGCATTTAGGTAATGTCAGAATTTATCATACCTTTACCTTCATTTTACAAAACAAAAGTTACATGCATAAAGTTCAAATAAGTCATGATTATATAATTATAAAAATGTCAATTGCAAGTTCAATGAAGTTCTATTTTCTCACAATGTGAGCAACAACATTGACCTCAAACATTACATATATATTCATTCTATTTCGAGATTAATGTTTTATAAAGCTAAAGTTATATTTTTCATTCTTAAATTGAATTCAATTAATCAATTTCTTATTTTAAACAAATTTCCGTATAAAAGTAAATAGAACGCCATCCTCCCCACCCCACCCCCCCCCCCCCCAAAAAAAACAGAAACATTCTTGGACCATATAATATGAAGTACGGTAGTTTTCTCCCTCTACTGTGCATCTCAGCATTATAAAGATCATAAAATTACGTATTTTACTACAACATTGCTACTGGTCAGTAACACGTTCTATGAATTTATATACTGACTTTTGCATATTCCTCGTACTGCTACGCCATACTCACCAAACATAGCAATTTGTGTTGAAAATATCTATCTTCTAAGGTTATTTTACACTTTGCTTCCTTCACCAATTGTACATTCATGTTAATAAAATAGGAGTACATTACAGTACCTCTTACTCTTTCACATGTTTTGAATATAATACAGTAGATACTGACATTAGGTAATTATTATTATTATTATTATAAGCTGTCCATCGAGTCCGATGAAGACGACCGGTGAACCATTGATCTCCATCTGCTTTTGTGTCTGCTGTAAAACTGCCAGCTACCAACGGGTATCTTCTTATCCTTCAAATTTCTCTTAACAGTATCCTTAAATCTTAGTCTTGGTCTACCAATGCTGCGGGAGCCGTTCTTCAGTTGTGAATAGAGTATTTGTTTAGGTAGTCTGTTATTATCCAATCTGTTGACATGACCAGCCCATCTCAGGTTTCTTTGGATTAAGAGTTCATACATACTTGGTAGATTAGCCTGGTCGAGGATATCCTTGTTTGGGACAAAATCCCACCATTTAACATTTAGGATTTGACGCAAGTGCCGCATCATGTAGGTGTTAAGTTTACGTGCTGCAGCTTTGTAGACAGGCCAGGCCTCTGCACCGTACAACAGTGTGGAGAAAAACGTGGATAACACCTAGATAATATTTAGACCTATATAGTTAAATACTTAATAAATGGTACAATTTGCTCTTTCAGCTTTTACATCTTCATGTCTACAAAGGTGGGGTATAAGCATTCTTAAATACATCTTCCTCATAATTTGCGTAAGCGTCAGAGTCGAAATTTTTTGTGGACGTAGTTCTTGGACCATCTTTTGGCTTGTTCATCCATGGCTTTCTGAATATGACTAAAATTATGGCAATTGCAAAAATGACAACCAAAGGCACCACTGTTGCGGTAATAATGATGGAATTCGATTTTCTGTCATCTTTCAATGATGTGTTATCCGGATATATGTTGATGTCATCAACAGCAATTACTCCTAAACTTGATGGTCCAAGTACTGCTTCAAATAAGATCTAACAACGACAAAAACAAAAAACAGTTTATATATATTTTACACGGAAGTCATCATTTAACATTTCTCACCAATAATAGCATACACATAAAGTCCCTCAATTTTTTTTCTTTTTCGGAGAACAACAATAAACAGAAGCCATTATATTTCAACAACAAATATAAATTAAACATTTACCGCAAACATTGTCATTGACGGGTTCACTTCCATTACGTTATCCTGTTCCCATCCTTGTGTAGTTCCATTTTTTCCCCAAATCAGTTTCTTTTTATCGTAATTCCATCCTTCTTGAATAAAAACCCGCATTAGCTGTGGGTCGAAGTTCATATGAACGCTAAAGCCGACGCTGATACTTCCATTTTAGTTAATTGGTGGTGTTTGAATACATGCTTTGTCTTCTTCACCACCTTCAACATACATGTAGGTAGAAGAATCTAAAAATTACAAATAGAAAGTATTATAGAGGTAGGCTATTGCATCCAGTCACTGTCAACATAGC